TGAACGATGAGCTTCCCGACCAATGCACCAAATGATACCGGAGAAACTGACGGAAGCAAAGCACAGAGGGATGGACACAGGTTTCTTCAGGAAGGAAGAGATTCTTTATTGGATCACCGACCGGGACTCAGAGGGACTAATGTCACCAAAAATACAGCAAGTTCTGAGCCCTGAACAATAGTGCAGGCTTCCTATATAGGCACATAACTCCTCCCATATTAAGCTCCACCCGCACATTCTCTTGACCAATCATTACAAATAAGAATTAACTTCCTGCTTGACCACATGGCTTGTCCAGCACAATGGAGGAGGAGAATACTACATCCTGTATTCTTGCACATGCTCCGTACACTACTGATCGTATCTTGCCTCGTGCAACCAACTGATCGATACGTCAGCATATGCACGTACACATGCCATGTGGTAATCTCGGCCTACTAAATTTATTTTTACCGAGATTCCACCACAATGTCTCAGTAAAGGGTGGAGAGAGTGTGCTCTGTGCTTATTATAACTAATTATCATTATTATTATTTTAAATAATGGCTTATGAATCTGAGATGATTTTTGAGACATGAATATTTTTCTCTGAATAAATTGTTACACCCACTGCCCCCCACAGCCAGTGAGCAGCGTCCGCCCTCCCTCTCTCTCTCTCTCTCCCTCCGCCAGCAGCCATCCTAGCCCGGAATATCCCTGCCTGGTGCTGTCCTCAGTCACCAGGTGGAACCACCTTAACAACCGGCGCCTCTGCGGCTCGCAGTCACATGACCGGGCGCCGCCGCCATTTTGTCTCTGAATTGAAAGTGTGAAGCACAAAAAAAAAAAATAATAGAGAGAGAGAGAGAAACCGGAAAAGGAGCGGAGACGGGAGAGAGAGAGAGAGAGGCTGGAGCCAAGAGCCAAGAAAGGGAGAGAGATCACAAACACTGCTCCTCCTGCTGCTGCCGCCGCCTGGCCGGGTCACCTCACTAGGACAGCCCTCCGCCTCGTAACACGGTGACCCCGGAACCGGGAGAAAGGAAGCGGCCGAGACAGAGCTCAGTCAGGCAGAGTCAGTGACAGCTCCCGGTGTGTGCCCAGCTCTCCCGGACTCCCCCCTCCCGGTGTGTGCCCAGCTCTCCCGGACTCCCCCCCCTCCCGGTGTGTGCCCCAGCTCTCCCGGACTCCCCCTCCCGGTGTGTGCCCAGCTCTCCCCCCTCCTCCCATTGCTCGGTCAGCCGGCGCTGGCTATACGGACTCCCCCCTCCTCCCCCCTCTCCCGGTGTGCTTAGCTCTCCCCTGCCTCCCCGGTGCTCGGTGTGTGCCCAGCTCCCCCCCCTCCTCTCAACTACTCCCGGTGTGTGTGCCCGGCTCCCCGCCTCTCGGTGTGGCTTGTCTCCCCCTTCCTCTCCCGGTGGCCATTGCCCAAGCTCCTACCCCCTTCCTCTCGGTGTGTTGCCCAGCTCTCCCCTTCCTCTCCCGGTGTGTGCCCAGCTCTCCCCCCTTCCTCTCGGTGTGTGCCCGGCTCTACCCCCCCTTCCTCTCCCGGTGTGTGCCCAGCTCTCCCCTTCCTCTCCTGGTGTGTGCCCAGCTTCTCCCCTTCCTCTCCTGGTGTGCCTAGCCTTCCCCCTTCCTCTCCCGGTGTGTGCCCAGCCCTCCCCCCTTCCTCTCCCGGTGTGTGCCCAGCTCTCCCCCCCTCTCTCTCTCCCGGTGTGTTTGTGTAGGCCGTATCGTTGTGTGAGCACGGAGGATGTCGGGTCAGTCCATCACAGACCGTATCACGGCGGCCCAGCACAGTGTGACCGGCTCGGCCCTGGCCAAAGCCGTGTGCAAGGCGACCACTCACGAAGTGATGGGCCCTAAGAAGAAACACTTGGACTGTGAGTATGAGTGACATTGACACTGACCTATGGCTCTACACGGGAACAGTGTCCTCACTACTGACTTATTCACACAGACATGGCCAGAGGACAGGCCATGTAATACTACAATCCCCGGGGTGCGCTGACAGCCTTAAAACTGGCAAGGAATTATGGGATTTGTAGTTCTACCATAGAGGTGGCCAAAGGTAGATCCGCAGCTGTACTGCCACCTTTACAGCTGGCAAGGCATCATGGGAATTGTAGTAGCTGGGAATCTGCATTTGGTATACAACATGGGCTAGGGGGAGTACATTTTGGCTACCCCTCTTATCCTACATTTTATTTAATTTTTTTGCTCCACATACTGCATGGTGGTATGACAGCCTGTTAGTGCTGCCTCTTTCATTTTGTGTGTGTGTATGTGTATATATATATGTATGTATGTATATATATGTGTATATATATGTATATGTGTGTATATATATATATATATATATATATATATACAAAAATCAAAATGCACTCACAGGTCTTCTGGTTAATAGGAAAACTGGTGCTTTAATAAATCATCTGTGATGTACAAAAAAATCAATCGACGTTTCGACCCTGCCGGGTCTTTTTCAAGATCTTGATTTTTTTTGTACATCACAGATTTATTAAAGCACCAGTTTTCCTATTAACCAGAAGACCTGTGAGTGCATTTTGATTTTGATTTTTGTTTATATATTTGACGCCAACAATTTGCACCCAGGCATGTGAGTTAAAAATTTATATTTTTTTGGAGGTGAGTGCCAAGCGTTCATATATATATATATATATATATATATATATATATATATATATATATATATATATATATATATATATATATATATATATATATATATATATATATATATATATATATATATATTTTGTACATTTATTTCTTTAACTTTTTTTGTGACCAGCACCAGACTTTTCTTGTTTGTATCATATCCACGGGCATTTGAAATATTGTATGAATTTTGCGTTGACAATGTATTGGTATTGATGTAAACTAAAGTGGTAATGGACCCATGATTTCAATCACATAAGCACATGGTTCATGCCTATGTTTTTCAAACTGTACATGTAGGAATGGGTTTTCCCAGCAAGTGGACCTTATGTCAACATTTCAATGAATACTCAACACAGGTATCACTCTTTTCTCTCCAGTGTTATTCACTAATTAAACTGCAAATGGTGTACCAATTGATTACATCAGAACCATCCCAACAAGTTAACTTACTCTTGATGAGAATTTAACCTTTTTATTACTACACCCAATCAATTCAGTCAGATTGCAAAACCCACAAGGGAGCTCATTTATGCATTTTGCTTTTTTATGCTCGGAATCTGGTATTGCTCATGTCTTATAGCACGAGCTCAGTCCTACGATATTCTGTATCTCCATTAGCAAAGTATACTGACACAGAACCATAAATTATATGAGTGACATTGTTTGGTATACATGTTTGAACCTTGGCGTTCACTGGATTAGGAGGATCATGCTTAACCAAAATGTAATGAACTCGTCATTATATAGTATATGCACAGATCTATGTGTAGTTCTATACAAAATTCAAAATATTTCTGTGAATTCCAAGGCAGGTTTGAAGAATTTACTAGATTACCTATTTTTCACTTGTTTGTTTTTAAACTTCTTTTTACAGATGAGTACATTGTTGAGAAAATTCAAGCCCAACATACAGCAAATGCTCTGTAAATTGCCCTATAGCTAGGTCATAATTTTGCATTTCGCATCTATTGCACAGGGTGTCATAGGAATATATATTTTTAGGCCTCGAGTTTCCTTACATTTTGCATTTTAGCCATGGATTGGAAATTTGATGTGGGCTTGCAATTTTGTAACATTTTCTCATGAACTACTAGCAACACATTTTAACAATTAAAAACTCCCTGTAGCTTTTACTAAAAATGCTGCTGGTATTTATGTACCCACTGAGTAGTATCCTGTTGATTATATGTATAGTATTGTATAACAAACCCAACTTTAGAGTTGATATCTATGCATACTGTTCATACTGTTATGACCTGCGTTCTAGAAGTCACATACTGGAAAGAGCCAGTCAATGACAGCACATGATGCTTACTTTATATTCAAATACACAGATACTGGCATATATCCTAAATGTATTAATATATTGGTTCCATTTTAAATATTGACTATAATTGTACATCTTTTGTTGAAAACAAAGAAAACTTTATTTCTGTTTTCTTTGTGTACTTAAAGGACCACTATAGTGCCAGGAAAACATACTCGTTTTCCTGGCACTATAGTGCCCTGAGGGTGCCCCCACCCTCAGGGACCCCCTCCCGCCCAGCTCTGGAAGGGGGAAAGGGTTAAAACTTTTTTTCCAGCGCTGGGCGGAGAGTCTGCCGACCGCCTGCCGCGCGCGGCGCACGCTGCGGGCAAGAGCTGCTAGCCCAGCGCCCAGGAAAGCATTTACAATGCTTTTCTTATGGACGCTGCGCTCTCACTGTGAAAATCACAGTGAGAAGCACGCAAGCGCCTCTAGTGGCCGTCAATGAGACAGCCACTAGAGGATTAGGGGGAAGGCTTAACCCATTCATAATAGCAGTTTCTCTGAAACTGCTATAATTATGAAAAAATGGGTTAAGCCTAGAAGGACCTGGCACCCAGACCACTTCATTAAGCTGAAGTGGTCTGGGTGCCTAGAGTGGTCCTTTAAGGAGACACAATGTGTCCTAAAATTATCCCAGTGTTGAATGCATTATATAGCAGATTTTTCCATGTATGTGTTCTTTTTTTTTTTTCTAAAAATATTTTAGTCAAAAATTGGGGGTCATCTTATACACGGAATGTCACAGCAGGGATTAAACACAATTGTGCGCGGAGCCTAAGCCAAGATGGTGCCTGATGCGTTTGTGTGCCACGGCCCCCACACACACACACACACACATACGTGGCCTCTCTCCTGCCGATCCACTTCTGAATGCTGTGGCAAGGAGGAAGAGGTCCCTATATGCGTGGGAGCTTCAATAGACATCAGCACTTGCCACCAACTGAGCTCCAGAGACATGTCACACCATAAAATGAGCAGCCATATTGGGGTATGCTCCACCTCAGGTATATCTTCCTTTCTGATTTTATATTTATTGGGGGAATGGGGATCAGGGAGCAGAGAGAATACTTCTGTGATGTCCCAGCATGTCCTCACACCACCAGTATTGTGGGAGCTGTAGTCTCCTGGCATGCACTATGGAGTCATTACCTTCACAGAGTACTGTAGCACAGGGGAGGCATGAGAATTAGAAGTGTGTTGTTCTCCTATTGCATGTTTATATAATACATTAGAAAATGCAAAAAAGAAAACCTCATTGGTTTTGATGCTGTTGCACTAGCCAGATGCAGCAGCGCAGACAGCCCCTCCCAGGCAAAGAAGAGGCTCAACCAATGGGAAGCCTCTTATTCTAGTGTGTGAATTATTTCTTTTTTTCTAATACTCACAATATGCAGCCAGTGATGAACTAAGCATCTGCTGCTGACACAGTTTGTCTCACTTCCAAGCCAATGCTTCCCCAAATAACGGGCGTGACAGGTTCCAGGGGAACACAACTTTGGTCTTAAACCGTTTTTAAAACAATTAACAATGTAAAGAAAGAGAGCTGTCTTACAGCCACAGCTGTTCTCAAAAAGTAAACTTGGTTATTTAAAGGGTTAATTTGACCGTTTTATACCATTTTAATTTATAATGCCATATTGGGCACTTGTAACTTAGTGACATTATAGGCACCCAGACCACTTCAACTCATTGAAGTGGTCTCGGAGAAATATTCCTGTTAGAGCAAGTGAATTTGGTAATGCTATTTACTCACCACTAAGAGAAGTGGTCTCCCACACCGCATAACAATAAACTGCAGTTTTAAAAAGACCTCTCAGCAGTTGGACAAAGGAGAGAATTAAATGCTTCATATTCACACTTTATAGAATTCCATACCATCGTATGAGAGGGCTCTGGACAAAGTATCTTCAGTCACGATAAAACCGTGCACAAGGTATCATTGGTCATATATAAAAATGAATTTACTAGGCAAACTAATAGAAGTTATGTTGTGACTACTGTTGAACCTGCATGTTCGCTAAATCCGGTTTATACAGTAGCTACAGTGAAAGCAGGTGATTCTTGAAATATTTCACATTCAATGAAGTATCTTTAATTTCTCTTTTGCCTTTAACCCCTTAAGGACACATGACGTGTGACATGTCATGATTCCCTTTTTTCCAGAAGTTTGGTCCTTAAGGGGTTAAGCAGGTTGCTCTGGTCAGTGATTGTTTGCTGTGTCTTGTAGTGCAAAACACTTAGTTTTACGCATAATCTATGGAGGTGGCCTTCTCTCCTCTAAGAGTCTGTTTATGTAGCTGTGACCAACCTTCTGATGCTTGGTTTGCTAGCAGCATTCCATTTAAGTCAGCAAGTAAATGTAAAATAACTTATGCAGTGTAAAATAGATTTTATTGTAATATCTCACACAAATATGTAGGCATGAAAGACATGCTCTTTTTTTTTATACTTGTATCACTTTAATGCAACCATCTATGAGGATTGACAACAAGCATTTAAAAATAATTGCTCTCTTTACATTTTTTAAATGCACAAAGCTAAATCCAATAATTGTCATTAACTGACTTAAAACAAAGTATTATTCATCCAGAGAAGAAAAATGTTAATATTCTGTGACAATTATCCCTTTTACAATTATAGTATCAAAATGTGCCTGACCTGATGTGTACCACCTATGGTACTTTTATCAAGCATTAAATACTACATATACATTGTGTTAACATATTTGTAGAAAACAACCCTATTTAAAAGTCTTATTTTCCACCTGTCAATTGGAAATTTTGGTTTAGACACTGTGCCGAATAATTGAGTGACTAGTAGAGCTGAAGAGACCCTGCCCAGGCAGTCCTCTCCAAGCATGCACAAAAAACTGATCAATGTCCTATTGATTTTGGTCCTTGTTAATGATCGCATCTGTAACGGACCGCCTGGCACCCCGACCGGGTACCTCTGTCAATTGCTGCTTCCTAGTACTTATAAGCACTGTACTGGAACACAATAACCACTTGGTTTGGGTCTCACCGTCCTCCCCCCACCCTGGGCCCAAGACCAGGATCCAGCTTCCAGTGGGTAGACCTCTCCTAGTCCAGAGAGCGTAACAGGAACTAGCTCTTAGAAGAGCTTGTGATTATACTTAGGGGAGTATTGTGATATAGCAATCCCCAGAGTAAAGGTAAATGTAAATTCCCCAAACATGAGCCAAGACTTCATGAAAGGGTAAAAATATCTCTTTAATGGAGCCACACTTGGCCTTATATGTCAATCCCCATGCAAGGGGTATGCCCATAGGGACCTTGTGGGGTACTGATTTGCAACTTCACAGATCAATAACAACATGGTTACAAGGCACGACACTGCCACACATAGCGCACACAATCCCTCCCCTCTGCTTGGGAGATAATTGAGTCAGTAACTGTACTAATTCTAATCCAATTATCTCCAAGCACAGAAAAAACATACTTTCTTAAAACACCCCAAAATTACCCTAAAAATACATAAAACCCCACAAATGTTACATCGCCTGATATCCCTGATCTGGGTGACCAACATATCCCAAAATCCCCCAGCTCAGTTCAGGAATTTCCTGGAAGTCTTATTTTTGACCCATGCCCAAAAGTTCCAGAGAATTAGTGCTAACGGTCGGACTCAGTCTGGAGTACAAAAGTAAATACCGTATATACCCACTATAAGCCGAGTTTTTCGGCACATTTTTGGTGTGGAAAAAGCCCCACTCGGCTTATACTCGAGTCAATGTATTACGGCAATATAAGTTATGGCAACTTACATTGTCATAATACAGACCAGGACCGCCGAGCTCATTACAAGCCTGGCGGTCCGGTTGGGGGCCCGCAGCAAGCGCTTACCTTTGCAGCAGCTCCGGTCATCTCCCCAGTGTAAATCTCGCAAGACCCGTGGCCATCAGAGCGTTGCCATGGGTAACCATGGCAACGCTCAGTGCGGCACGCAGACCGCGAGATTTACACTGGGGTGATGACCGGAGCTGCTGCAAAGGTAAGTAAGCGCTTAAGGACTAGTGATTTCCTAAAAGGGTACTTGCCCCCAACATTATCTGGGGTTTAAGTTCTCATTCACTCAATGTCTGACATTGACAAACACTCAGCTTGCCAGAAACAATATCAGGCAGGGTGCTGAGGGAGTTACATAAGAAAATTATACATTAAAACAATAAATCTGGAACGGTTTACTGCAATTGGAGCATATTTGTTACTGTGTGATTTCACTCAAAAGGTTTGTTTAGAGATTAAACACCTTTAATGTTATCAATGTTTCTTAAAGGGACACCGTAGGCACTGTATCTGCTTCATCTCATTAAGCTGGTTATAGTGTATGGAGTCCCCTGGTGCCATCATTTCTTTCAGCATTAAACAGTTTTTAATGTTATGTTTTAATGCTAAACAAGAGACCACGGCAGTCCATCCCCTCTGTGCTGCTTTGGCTAATAAGGAAGTATCACCCTGAGCAGCAATGGGCAGCTGTGATTGGCTGAGAGTGTCAGCTGACTGCTTTTAACCTGTCAGAGCTCCAACTGACGGTATGAATGGGTATGACAACAAGGAAGTGTGTAATCTCTGCCTTAGCTACACATACAGAAGGGGCCGGACTGTGGGTGGCCAGGGACTCTTATTTTGGGGCATACTGCACAAACATGGTGCAACACTGAATGGAGGGACAGTGCCAGGGCACTCCAGGCACTATAACCAATTCAAAGAGACAAAGTGGTTATAGTGACTACAGTGTCCCTTTTAAAGTATAGAAATACAGAGGTATTCACCAAAGTAGAAATGGATCTGAATGAAAACAAATCTGAAAGTGAATTTGTATGTATGTATGTATGTATGTATGTATGTATGTGTGTATATAAATACACACACACACACATTCTGCATTCATTATATATACACACATTCTGCATTCATTATACATACACACACTACACACACTCTGCATTCATTATATACACACACTGTAAAATATTCAATTAATGTAATTTTATTGGGATCTAATTTTTATTTAGAAATTTACCAGTAGCTGCTGCATTTCCCACCCTAGGCTTATACTCGAGTCAATAAGGTTCCCAGTTTTTTGTATTATATTCGGGTCGGCTTATACTCTAGTATATATGATACTTCACGTGAACAGAGCCTTTTAAAGTATTTTAGCCAGGTCTATTGCATGGACCATAGTCACAGGGTAAGAGGCTGGCCAGCAGGCTCCTCCAAGATCCAGTGACTAGGTTCAGTTCGTCACAGCATCATACAGTTTTTGCAGATTTGTTGGCTGCAAATCCCTAATGTGCTCTTTTAAATTTAGACCTGGTGACTTTTGAAACTATTGGTGTAAACTAAACTCATTGTCATTTTTTTGGTGGAATCCGCCTGAGGTGACTCCTTAAAGTAGCTTTTAGAAGATGAGTTAACCATGTCATTAAATAAATGATTCTGGTCATATGTGCAAAGAAAATATTCTCCACATTACACATACAAGCTTGAACTTTTGACAAAAAACAATATGTATCCATGGATTACTGCTTTGGTAAAAGTCTTGATGATTCAAGTGTGTGTTGCAGGAGATATTGAGCTCTATGTAACAAAATGACAGATTTTTCCAATCTTCTGCTGTTTGGTTGAGGTGTGACTGCATCAGATGTAGCCTCTCTTTCCTAACCTTTTTAGCTGATCGGAGTGAACCCAGCGTGGTCTTCTGTTGATGTGGCCTATCAACTTCGTGGTTGAACATGTGCATTTAGATATGCTCTGCTGTAATGACCACTATTTTAGTGACCCATCCACCCTCTCTCTTATAATTGGTACCCTTTCCGCCTTGGTTTTCTCAAGTTCTACCTAATGGGTGCCTAGGATGATAGATGACGATCCCTAAAATTTGGCAAATAGCAGTTCAACTTTACTTTCCAGTCCTATTTCTCCTTGCTGTGTGTGTATATTGGCAGGTTAATTATTTCACATGAGAGGCTACACCAGCTATAAATCTATTACTGTGGTCACCTTTTGGTAGTTATTTTCTCAGTTCAATTGTGCTTATTGATCATATTTGGAGTATTTTTTTTTTCTAATTTAATTGTATTGGTTTATGAAAATTCCTTTTAAAAGTTACAAAAATGCTTTTTTTTTTCTTTCTTGTATTTTTTTTAGGGGGGGAAGTTAGTATTTAATAATATTTTTAGGAACTTTCATGATAGAATTAGTTAATTTGGATACAACTTAATTTATCTGAGAAGCATAGTTCTGAGGGTTGTGTGCGTGTTTATTTTTGTTCAAATTCCATTTTTATTTTTCTGTCTTTTTTTTTTAACAATAGAAATATTTAATATGTTCTGGTGGATGCATGTATTTATTTATATTTAAATTTATACTTATATGAGGAAGTCCTGTTGACCGCATGATCAATGAGAAACTCCAGGTGCTTTTTAGACCTACTCAGAACCACAGACATAACCTTGTGGTTGAAGCAAAGCAAATATGTGTTCACATTAGTCAATCTACAATTGGGTGGAAAGGTCCAGAGAATAGAAGTATTTCATGAGAATCTTTGAATTCTAGTATCAGTGATAGACAATTTCCTGCATATTTTACACTTCTTAAAGAAAGCTAGAGAACAAGACCACGTCCCTTTTAATGAAACCTTATGAACATCTTTTTTTAAATACGTCCAACTAGAGGGATTTGAATTTGTAGTCTCATAAGGCCAATCCTCAAATGTTACTCACCTCTGCAAGCCTTAACTTACCTTCGAAGTGCAAGTGGAAATTTTTTTTGTGTCAATCATTTTTATTGAAGGTAATTTTTTCAAATATTCCGTAGGCATACGGTAAGTAAAACGGTAAATGGTACAAGACATATAAAAAACAAGTAACAGAAACAATGCTCATATTTTCTACTCTCAAAATCTGGAGGTTGTCTACATACGAACCCATGCCCGCGGCTTAGGGTCTGTCGGTAAATGGTACAAGACATATATAAACAAGTAACAGAACAATGCTCATATTTTCTACAATCGAAATCTGGAGGTTGTCTACATACGAATCCATGCCTGCGGCTTGGGTAATATGAAGGTCAGTCAACCTTCGGTCAACCCGACAAGTGATTGCTGTGCTTTGTTTAACCCTGCGTCCCCATGTGCACCCCGAGATGCATGTAGAATGTTTAAGTGTCAACTCTTATAGGTGGTCAGTCATGTTTCGGCGTGTTGCGCTCTAAATCTTCCCCCTCAGAGAAGGGGAGTCAAACTAATTACTCACTAGGATTGTGAGGTCAGCCTTATACCTGTCGCCTCCACCCAAGCCGTTATGTCTAGGAGGGTGACCCCCCTTTTCGGCTGTGTCAGTATGGCCTGTCCATGTCCTGTATGTCGTCCATGAACTGTGGGGTAGTGCGTCCGTCGGGGCATGTTCCAGACTAAGCCAGTCTGCTTCAGGGTCTCCGTGCTGGGTATAAGTTGAGAGATAGTACACACAAAGGGAGGGAAAGAGAGAAAGAAGAAGAAGAGAAGAGAGAGAAAAAAAAAAAAGAAAAGAGCACACTCCCCACACACCTCCCCCCTCAGGTCGGTTCCGCAGCCCCGCAACTCATGCCCCGTCTCTCGAGGTATACTGCCTCCAAGGATACCACGTCAGGGCGCACTTATCTGCGCGCTCTCGCATAGAGGCCGTCAGGATCTCCATGTCGTAGATGGTCTCCACCTTGTCTATCCATTGTCTAAGTGTGGGAACTGATGGACCTTTCCAGTGCAGGGGAATGAGGGCCTTTGCTGCGTTCAATAGGTGTATTGTCAGTGACTTTTTGTATGCCTGCGTTGGGGTGGGTGTATGGTGTAGAAGCATTGGCAGCGGCTGTAGGGGGATGTCGTCCCCTGTGATCTCCTTGATCTTTGCCTTGATCATTTGCCAGTATGGTTTGATACTAGGGCATGACCACCAGATGTGTAGGTTGGTGCCCCTTTCTAATCCGCATCTCCAACAATCGCCTGTGTCCGTCCCCTGTATGTGCCTCAGTGTGTCTGGTGTTCTGTACCATCGTGTTAACAGTTTGTAGCTGGTTTCCTGGAATTTCGAGCTAATTGAGCATTTATGTGTGAGGAGGAATATTTTGTCCCATTCTTGGTCCGTCAGCTGTGCACCCGTCTCCTCCTCCCATCTGCTCGTGAAGCCTAGTGGGCAACTATCCCCTGACTGCTGGAGCAGAGCATATAAGTGTGACACCCCATGGGTTAAATGTCGTCTGTCTGTGCACAGGCGTTCAAATTCCGTAAGTGTACGGTGGAGTTGAGTTCTCCCCGGGATTTTGGTATAGTAGGACCTAACCTGGTGATAGTGGAATTTGTCGAGAACAGTAGGTTGCCCGTCTGGCAATAAGTCCCCCAGCGATTGCAGCGTTCCCCCCGGACTCCACTGGCGTACTGCAAGTGGAAATTTTAGCCCCTTACATTTTAAAAAATATTTAAAGAAAATATCAGTTGCTGTGAGAACCCAAACTCGGCATTACAATTTCAGCTAAGGATTGGTCTTCCCTTTTTTTTTAATAAAGTATCTGTTTGTCTTTTATAAGGTAGCCCCTACATGCTGTTATTTAGCCAGATCTATCCCCAGCGCTCCCCACTTTGTTTCAGGGATACCTGTTTTTTTGATTGTGCTGTAATTTTTTTTGTTTATGTTGCTCTCAAACTAGGACACTTTTCATGGAGTCTTTTCTGTTTGTGTTCTCCCACTCCCCCCATGCTTTTCTTCTACTTTCACTAACCCCAATTCCCCATAATATTTTCTTTTGTCTATTATTTACAATCACTGGCACTACAGTACCAATTTTCTTTCCACTCATGGGTCCTGTTCATTGAGTTTTATACGTTCCAAAATACAATTGAAAGGAAAACACATACAGTCAAACTGTGTGCTGTGTAACATTACACAGAATGGTCAATTCAGTCAGTAGCTGCAATGTCCGCACATATCCTAATAAGTGAGGTGTGTCTGCAATGAGAAGCATAGTAAGTCAAAGAGACACTGAGAAAGAAGTAAGGAAGGAAAGCAGGATAAGAAGCCTAGTAAACATCTGAGCGTCAAGGTTGCCAGAAAGGTTCATCACATGCTGCTTCCTGGTGCCTCAAATTTTCCAAGTATTTTAAAGTACAATTGACCAGTGACTGTGTTTTTAACCGATGCCACTAATGGCAGGGTAGTAGATGTGTATGTGAGGGCTGTGGTTGTCAGGACTGCTGTAAGGATATGCATTCCCAACTTTTTAAGTTGAGCACCGAATAGCTGCAGGAAAGATATTCAACAGAAATAGTGCCGCTACCAAATGAAAACCAAAATAAGCACAATACTTAGCTGTAACTAATAGGTGCTTCTCCCAGAACCTCTCAATCCTGTTAATTACTGAACATGCACAAAACAAAATAGCGTTACAGCACACCTATAAGGAACAGAGAAAATACATAGAGTACTATAGGAACGTTACAGGACAATCTGGTTTTGTGAGTGCAATATAATCCTATTCAAGATTGCCCTGTAACGTTACTATACTACTCTATGTGCGTTTTCTGTCCTTTTTATAGGTGTGCTCTATGTTCAGAAAGGTATTCAGTATGAAAACTTCTGGATTTAAAGAGAAATTGAATCCAGTGGTTTGTATCAGAGATTTAATGTCTGACCAGAAGGGATGTGGGAGTGAGCATGACCAGAAGATATGTGAAGTGATGCCTTGTTCATTTTTGCATCTCCAGCATACAACCAATGCTATTTTGAAAAAATGGATGCCTTCTTCTATGGGACTAAGTTCTATTTATTTATGAACTTTTGATTAGTCTCCCAGCGGTCTAAGCAGTGCGAGGCTTTGTGCATTTGATGCAGACTTCGTCTCCATATCTGAAAGAGAAATTGGCAATTGGGTTATTTTTCTCACTGGAGCATATAGGACAGTTAATAGAAACTGCCTTTTGTGCCAAGTGTAGGACAGTGGTTTTTTACATTTTATTTTTAACTTGTTTTTTTTTTTTTTTTTTATGACCGCATTTGTGGAAGAGTCTTGATGTATAAATTCAGCATTGTCAGTGCCCTGGATTTTTTTGGAAACCACTCCATGACATGTATATTCCACTCATTACTTTGTGTAACTTACAGCCTTTCTGCTGGTGGTTTGTGGAGATCGCTATGGTATTTCATGGTATAGATTGCTCCACAGATGGCCAATCCAGAGCTCCACGTGGAAGCATTGTGGACCTGATGCACATGTGCTTTCCTATGAGCTGCAACATCACATGACCAGGTTTTACTTTGTCTGTGCATTGGAGGCACTTCTCGTGACTGTCAGTATTTAACCTTAAAGGGTTAAACATACAGGACCACTGCACCTAGACCACTTCAACAAAGAAGAAAAAAAAAAAGAAACCTTCCCATTTAATTCATTTGATGTGTCCCATCAATAAAGGTTGTTTATACTGTGTAAACTATCACTTTACTTAAATACACTACTTTCTTCAGTGTATTTTAGAAGTACCTGTTGTAAGTTTAGTGATTATTAAATCTTTGTATTTTTTAAACTTGTGGAGTGTTTTTTTTTCTTTCTATTCTTTTATGGTTTCATTATGAGCACACCTAGGTGTTTTTTTTTGTTTTTGTTTTTGTTTTTGTTTTTTTAAACTGTGCTTGACTACAGGCCCAAACATGTACACAATAGAACTAACACTTAATTTGGTGTTCAGGTAGACCGCCACTGGGGGCGCTTCTGGAATCCAGACGGACCTGTTGTCTGTTAAACTGGAATGTTTTACATTGCAGCACTAAGTGCAATAGGGACACAGCAATTAGCTGAAGTGGTCTGGGTGCCTACAGTGTCACTTTAATATAGTTTATCCAAAATAATAAACATTAAAAAGATATTGTTTATTTATGCTTGCATGTTTTTCAAGGACATAAGAGAGAAAACCATCCCAGCCTGGAGTACCCCATTTAACTCCTTAAGGACCAAACTTCTGGAATAAAAGGGAATCATGACATGTCACACATTAGGGGTTAAAAACCTCAATTAAAGTGACTGCTTTTATTTATGCTAATTTGTAGGCATAGGGGGAATTTTTTTTTTGTTCTTGGACATACATTTTAAAACCATGACAAAGATCTTACTTTAGGTCAAAATATTGCTTAATTTTGTAATATATATATTTTTTGTCTACAAAGTTATTTAACTATACTTTCTTTAAATGTACTGAAGTAGTAGAAAGAGCACATGTCCTAGGTTGGCTGCTTCTTTTGTATATCATGTAATACAGGTTGATTCGGGTAACTCTAAATTTACACTTATGTGACTCAACTGACACTATTTCCTCCTCTATCTCTGCATATAAAGGATCAATTCCATGTGGACCTGAATGGAGACTAACTATAGATTAAGTTTGCTTGTGTTTTTCATGATCATTTACTTTTCTGTTATGGCTATCTTCTAGCAAGACACTACAGCTGTGTCAGTAGCCAGAGCCAAAAGGATCTGGCAATTCCTGATTTATGTAAATTTTGTTGAATAAAATATTTAGAGGTGATGGTAAACTGTATCTTTCGAGGTACACAAAACATTGCATTAAAATTCCAACGATACACATTGCTAGCAGGGGGAGAAGAACGCTTTACCTAGATTCTAAGACTAGTGGCGATAACCTTGAAATGTTGGACCAACATTTTGAAGTCTGTTGTGCAAGATTCCTTATTTAGATGGGGCACACATTTTTTGCCATTGATTTTCTTGATGTATTTGGTCAACTGAAGAATGTTTTCTGTATTCTTATGTTATTTTGGTTTGCCAAAAGCCACCAAGCTTTGAGCAGAACCGTTTTTGTGAGGATCTGTAAAAGTCAATGTAATAAGGTTTCATTTATAAGTAAGGTAGAACTAGAAATAATTGTGTAGATGCTCTGGGAAAACACAAGGCTTTGGGTAGATTCAACAATAGAAAAATGCAATGTTCTCTAAAATTGGAATTCTATTGTTGGCAATCCACGTTTTTCATCACAACTGGAGGGGACCAGACAGGTTTTTATGGTGATTACCCAAGGTTTAATAACTGTTGGTGACTCCATCAGAAAGGCCACTTACAAGCAGCAGAGTAATCTACTGTGATGTGTGGAATGTCTTTCTGCGAGATGGAGAACTTGAATGCATTTACGAACTTCTTGCGAGTAAGGAATACTCCTCGTGCTGTATCGCCATTGACCATGTTTAGAAAGTTATACAGAAAAAGACAAAAAAGGTGTCATCTCAAAACTTCTATATTTTGCTTCAAAATGCATGTTCAAATAAGAAAACCCTTTCGAAAGAAATGGTAAAAGAATATTGGCATATTATGTCTATACATGGAAAAACATTTGACAGTTGTTACAGGTTATCAATTTGTACATCTATAAAAGACAGAACTTGTTGGAGCTTTATAAATATGTGGTGGCAGGGTGAAATAGTAGCCTTGTTTTGAGAAGAGGTTTTCTCACTTTTGAGCCGCAAATTGTGCTAAACTCTATGACTAGTTCCAATTTTGGCACAGCTGAATGGTGTTTCTTTGTACACTCACCTGACCTTAGTGGCAGTGAGACTAAGCCACAAAATGTGTACGTCTCACCGACTTTGCAATGCTCGTAAGTGAAAGAAAGATGTTACTACATTTAGGATGCTGCTGAGAAATAGTAGTTTTATGTATAATATGGTTTGTGTGTCCTGGGCATACTCCGTACCCATGTAAGGAGCACATGGCTCTGCTGACCCCTGCTGAATCTACCATGACTATGAATTCTAAAGTCCTAAATTCCCTGAACCTTTTAATCAATCCTTTTTAACTCTTTTTACCATCAGTCTCTTCCTCACTCCCACTCTTTGTTGAGTGGACAAGGTATACTGTTCCGTTTTGCATTTGTAATTTTTAAAATGTATTGCCGCGCCAGAATTCATGGCGATGCTTCTTATCATAAAGTGAAAAATGATTGAGAGAGTGAAGATACCACTTACAATTCCCTAAGAAACAGGATGTTTATTCTCAGAGTTGTATAAACCCCATAAAAGTTTGCAATGAGTGGTTTTATTTAGCTTTTCTTTTTTCTTTTATGTATTCACATGATTGTATTGTTTCCAAGCATATTGTAAAATTGTTGTAAATCTTGTATTCCACTTGCCTTGCGTCTTTTTTTTTTTTTTCTCTCAATGAAAAAGTGAAAATGGGTCTCTCTCTAGCCTACGATTTATTACATGAATGATTACAGACCTATTCATAGTGACCTCAGTTTTGAACATAATGTTGCCATTATTATATTGTCTGAATTGCCTAGGAACGTAAAGGAAACTATAGTGTTTTGGAATACAAATGTGTATTCCTAACGCTAAATAGTGCTCTAATCACAGATTACATGAGCCCAAGCCCTGCTGCCAGATTTAAAAAGATGGTTTCACTTAATTTTTCTTCTGCGCAGTGCTGATCTCTGGAATGCAGCTCTGCCTCCTTGGCCGAAATCGAGATCAATGATCTGAGCCAATCCACTGCTTTCCCATGCAAGAGCATTGGCAAGCTAGTGTGCATGTACGACAAAATGCAGCAATCAGATGGTTTCTCTGAGACCATCAGATTGAAATAGTTTTACTCCATTATTTCACAGAAGCACCTCCTAAAAGATTTTTGCAAAGGAGTATTTTTATTTCTTCTGCTACAACATGCCTTAGGATTAGTCACTTAAGCAAATTGGTGAAAATGTACTGATCTGAAATTTTTGCTTTTGTTTTTCCATTCAGATATAATTTGCAAAAATTAGTTTACTGAATAACCATGCACTGAGTTGCAGTGTAAGTTCAAGGTTTCTTAACACATGCTTTAATTATAGACTTATTTATAAAAAAAAATTTCCATATTTTATAAACAACAAGTTTTTAATATTTTTTTTTCAAAGTACCCAATGGATATTGCACACAGGTTAAAGCTCATATAAATGAGTTTCTTCTGCTAAAATTCTCCTGGAGAAAACCGGTAAGCAATTGCACACTAGTAAGAGAGAGAAACTTACTTTATTGTGTTTTTTTTTTGTTGTTGTTTTTTTTAAATCTTGTTTCTATTGATCATAGAGGGGCTAATTTTCTTCACCTTTTGAACATTGATACAGAATTGTTGTACAAGTATTAATTGCTCTGTAGAATTTCTAGTTTTTGTTCGCTTACAGTGGTGTTTATATAATAGTTCCATTAAAAGAATATGATTTTGATGGCATTTATTTCCATTAAATTTTTTTTGACAGATCTTATACAATGTACAAATGAAATGAACATAAACATACCGCAGCTGGCTGATACCCTCTTTGAAAGGACAGCTAATGGAAGTTGGGTTGTAGTCTTCAAAGCCCTTATCACAACGCATCACCTCATGATGTACGGCAATGAGGTACGATGAATAAGTTCATTATGTGTTCTTATAGTAAGCACCTGTTATATAAAGAACAAAGCTACGTATTTTGGGGAACTTTTGTTTTTGTTGTTTTTGTAGCAGAGGATCTGAGTGTTAGGATGGATCCGGCAGTGTCATCTTGTTGCTGGTCAGCATCCTAATAAAACCATAACGTTTAAATTATTAGTGTTGTCAGCATTCTCACATCATATGCTAGATCAGACTGTCAGCAAGTAAATTAAGTTACCTTATCCGAGTAGAGATGCAGGCTTGATTCTAAAGCATTTTTAAAAAGGGTGATCATCAATCCCTTTTACCAGGCTATAGATAAGAAATTACTTATCATTTCTCTTTTGTTAAAGGAACACCATAGTGTTGGTAATACAGGTTAGTATCCCTAACACTAAAGAATCCTAAAGTTGATGATCAGTGTTGTTCCCCCTCTCTTCCCCTCATAGAGGAGAATTGGGGACTGATACGCATCCACATGGAGAGCCGAATGTGCATCTTTATGCTTCTCATAGGAAAGCATTGAATTGAATAGTTACCTGTGAGCAGCATTGGTAACGTGACCGAATTTACTCTGTTGTTGCTCAGTAAGCGCATTTCATGGCTGTCTAAAAGATATGTGTTTATCCCTGCAATGTAAGCATTGCCATTTCTACAAAATTGCAATGCAGTTTTAAAACTACCAGGCAACAGCATCTAGTGTCCTTGAGTGGTCCTAGGTGACTTTAGTGATTCTTTAAATCTTTTTGGCTTTCCTTTTTTTCCATTTTATTAGTTTCATGAAGCATTTATCCCAGAGCAATCTAGCAACTGACAATTGATTTTGCTTTATTACATTTTAATTGTCATGACGTTCTTTCAGTAAAAACAGTGTAAGCTATGAACCTAGCCTCTTAAGGACCAAACCTCTGGATTAAAAGGGAATTATGACATGTCACACATGCCATGTGTCCTTAAGGGGTTAAAGGAACACTATAGTGTCATGAATACAAACATGTATTAAACTAGCTATTTAGGTTACTGGCCCCCAATGGAAAAGTTGTTTATTTTTTCTCCAGTGCTGCGCTCTCCCTGCCTGGTCCTGCCACCATAGCGGAGATAATCAATCTTGTTTCCAATAGGAACGCATTAGGTGGCTATTGCGAATGCGCGGCAAAATGCAACACTAGCCAATCGCGGCATCATTGAATCCGTGCATCTCTATAGGGAACTTTCAGTGACTCCATGTAGAGCATGGAGACTGAATGCCTGTGCTGCACTGACACAGGAAGCACTGCTGCCACTAGAATTGTTCCTACGCAGCAATAAAAACATTATCTTTTGAATGAAAATGCTATAGACACCAGAACCACTACATTAAAGGAACACTATAGGGTCAGGAACACAAACGTGTATTCCTGACCCTAGTGTTTAAGCCACTATTTAGATGGCTTATTTACACCTTACACCCCTTAGAAAAAGTGAAAACTCGCCTTATTTCCAGTGCTACGCGGGTCTGCCGATACTGGTCCTGCCCCTGGTCCGCCTCCTTGGTCACATCATCAAAATTGCCATAGGGAAAGCATTGGATTGGCTGCAATCAACAAGGAGGCAGGGTGGGGCCAAATGCTGTTTTAGCCAATAGGCCCCTCCTCATAGAGATACATTGAATGGGGGCATCTTTATGAGGAAAATTAAGCGTCCCCATGCAGAGCATGGAGACGCAGAACGGCAGTGCTGTCAACAGTGCAGAACTGCCCCAAGAAGCACATCCAGTGGCCATCTATGAAAAGACAGCGTTTGTATGGAAACGCCTTAAGGCAATGATTATATTAACCAGAACAACTACATTGAGCTGTATTTTTTTTCTGGTGACTCTAGTTAGTGTCCCTTTAAGCTGCAGTGGTTCTGGTGGATATAGTGTCCCTTTAAGATGTGCTGAGGTTTTTTTTTTTCCTACATTCTAGCTCTTCAAACCCAACTTGAGTCTTGTTTTGTTTTTTCCTTGTGAAATATGTAAGAAATCTAATGCTGGTTATGCTTTCTTATAAATGCTCTAGCAATTAAAGGGATCCTATAGTGCCAGGAAAACAAAGCTGTGTTCCTGGCACTATAGGGTTAATGGGTCCCCACCTCCCTCGGGCCCCCCTTCTGTGGGGCTGAAGGGGTTTAAACCCCCTAAGCCACTTACCTGAATCTAGCGGTGATGTTCCTCTGCCCTGGGTCAGACTCCGCCCACGCTCCTCCCCCGCCGTCAGTTGGCTTGGGAGACCTAATGCGCAGCAATGGCTGTGCGCGCATTAGATCTCCCCATAGGAAAGCATTATTCAATGCTTTCCTAATGGGAAAATCTGATGCTGGATGTCCTCGTGCAAAGCGTGAGGACATCCAGCGTCAGATAGCGGACCAGAAGCATGTTAGGATTCCGGAAGCGTTCTCGGTGGCTGTCTGGTAGACGGCCACTCGGGGCAGACTTAGAGCTGCAATGGAAAAAATTGCAGTTCTCTGGAACTGCAATATTTAACATTGCAGCACTAATTGCAAAAGGGTCACAGACTACTTCAATTGGCTAAAGTGGTCTGGGTGCCTACAGTGCCCCTTTAATAGATATTACATAAATACATTTTGTTATCCAAGCATTTGTCCTATATGGCTCTTGCCAATCCAACCTGATCTGTATAATGTAAAAATAAAATAAAATACATAATGCTGATGCTTCTTATACAGGAAAATGCAAACAGGGAGTATTCCTTATTTTACCCGAAGATCAAATTGTTCCTCACCTGAATTATTATTATTATTATTATTTTTGTTTTTTTTAACCTGGAAATAAGCTGAGGAGATAGATGGCAAATTTTCGGTCTCCTAACATATGTGATAACCTAATGAGGGAATAGATTGTCAGCTAAGCTGCAAAGTAGCCACTACTCTCCAGGAGTGTAATATAGGCATGATACCATGCCAGCTCTGGACATTTATTCATAGCCCGAGTGTCCGCTAACCATGTAATGCCCATTTAAAATATATTTAATACATATGAACATAAAAACTAAATATTTTAGTATGAAATTAAGTAAAACTGATCTATGTACTATAAATTTTGCTTTAAGTACATTTTACTTGTCTTTAATTGTTCATATATTTCCATGCATTTTATAGGGCTTATTCACTATTGAATTTTGACAATTTGATAAACAAATTGTGAGACAAAATAGTTGCGAGGAAAATTACTGTATTTAAAGGATCACTATAGGATCAGGAACACAAACATGTATTCCTGACCCTATAGTGAAAACCCACCATTTAGGTGGCTTGCCCCCCCTTAGCTCCCTCAAAGTGGGTTAAAACTCACCTAATTTTCAGCTCTCCACGGGTCTGTTGGCGCTGTCCCCACCTCCTTTGTGACATCATCAAAATAGCAGATTTTTAGCCAATCCAATGCTTTCCCATCAGGAAAGCATTGGATTGGCTAAAATCATCAAGGGGACGGGGGCCAAACACTGTTTTCAACTTTACTATTTTGACTTAAATTTTCTGTTTCCTTTCCAATTCACTATTCAGTGAATCAACCCCTACATTTTTAAAAGGTCTTGTAACCACTACACCCAAGACTCCTCGGTTGAACTATAAACACTATGGTTGAGTGATAATAGTGATATGTTTCAAAAATGCTTAATGCAAATGAGTTATGTAGTATAAACATTGGGATCAGTTCGCAAAAAATAGAACAATTTAGAAACAAAAATAATTACCTGACTTTGCAAATGGTTGTTGTAGCGATTTATACATTTTATTGCTGGCAGTAGAATTTTGGCAGTGCCACTTTAATATCTATCTCATCTGTTTTTAAAATGCCTCACCGTTTTGTTTTTTTATTCCTCAGCGATTTATTCAGTATCTTGCATCAAGGAACACATTATTTAACCTTAACAACTTCCTAGATAAAGGTGCTATGCAAGGTAATTATGTATTTTCTTTTTCTTTCTTTTGTATAGTGTTGTGTCATAACCCATTTACTGTAGTTTTCCTCTGAAAAGACATACAAACCAATTCCCATGATTCTCTAGTAAAATCTGATGGTGTTACTGGGTATCCTTCACTGAAATGTGAATTTCCAACTCTGTGTGTGTCCAACTCTTCTTGAAATTTGGTGAGAAATGGGGGTTATAAAACCGTGAATCATTTTGTTTTTTGTTGTGGCTCACCGAGAACTGGTTTGATGTGCATCATTCAAAATTATGTCTCCATTTCTCTTATTTCCGTAAATCTTGGTCATCTTCTAGAGTAATTGAGGCATAGCATTGTTGTGGTCGTCTGCATCTTTGAGCATGGTTTAATGAGAGTATCAATGATGATATGGTTTCTCTTATCAATCATAATACGATAGGTAGAAGACTGTATAAGAACTAAATTTGCGTTTTTCTCACATTGCAGCCCTTCTTCTCTCTATTACTTAAAGGAACACTATAGTCACCTAAACAAATTTAGCTTTATGAAGCAGTTTTAGTGTTTAGTTACACTGCTCAATCCACTGTAATTTAGGAGTTAAATCACTGTTTCTGTTTATACAGCCCCTGTCACACCTCCCCTGGCTCTGATTGACACAGCCTTCATGAAAAAAAACGGGTTTCACTTTCATTCGGATGTAATTTACTTTTTTAAACAATTGCATCTCTTTCTCTGTAAATTGAACTTTAAAGGAACACTATAGTCACCTAAATTACTTTAGCTCAATAAAGCAGTTTTAGTGTATAGATCATTCCCCTACAATTTCACTGCTGAATTCACTGTCATTTAGGAGTTAAATCACTTTGTTTCTGTTTATGCAGCCCTAGCCACACCTCCCCTGGCTATGATTGACAGAGCCAGCATGAAAAAAACTGTTTTTTTACTTTCAAACAGATGTAATTTACCTTAACTATTTGTATCTCAATCTCTAAATCGAACTTTAATCACTTACGGGAGGCTCTTGCAGGGTCTTGCAAGCTATTAACATAGTAGGGGATAAGAAAATCTTAATTAAACAGAACTTGCAATAAAAAAAAGCCTAAATAGGGCTCTCTTTACTGGAAGTGTTTATGGAAGGCTGTGCAAGTCACATGCAGGGAGGTGTGACTAGGGTTCATAAACAAAGGGATTTAACTCCTAAATGGCAGAGGATTGAGCAGTGAGGCTGCAGGGGCATGTTCTATACACCAAAACTGCTTCATTAAGCTAAAGTTTTTCAGGTGACTAGTGTCCCTTTAATCACGTACAAGAGGCTCTTGCAGCTTGATGAAGTTGTTCAGGTGAGAACTATAGCTCCCTGCAGCCTTTCCTGGCTATACACTGTACAGTGTTTACATTAGAATCTAGGAACATCTCCAGTTGCAGTCACTCAGACTGCCTCAAGAGGAACTTCAGAGTTCAGGGCTGCCTAACTCTCATTCATCACGTTTGACGTCTTCACGCTTGGGTGAATGCATGAAACGTGATAACGGGAGGTACTGTGAACGCGCCTCCTGTTTCCTGTAGTAACCTGGAGCCTGTCCGTAATCAGAGCCGACAGTGTGGGAGATAACGATCTCCTGCACACTGAGTTGGCTCGAGCTGACCGGCAGAAGGAAGGAGGATGCAGAGATCTCCTGACTTCAAACAGTAATTACACTTATTTTAAAAATTGAGTGTGAGACAGTGTGTGTGTGTGTGTGTGTGTATTTTTTAACAATATTTATTTTAAATGTATGTGTTTGTATACAAACACTTTATATAGAGAGATCTCAATATATAGTGTTTGTATTCTAGATACTTTTGGCTTAGAAGGGTTGCCATAGGAGGGGGGCGGGCACAGACAGTGAGCTGAGCTGTCAGTCAGCACAGCTCATAAACGCACACATGCGCGGTAGAGCGCTCCGTGTTCATTCATAGGGCGACATTCAATGCGTTCTATGAAGAATTCGATTGGTGCTGCGCATGCTCACCAGATTGCTATGACTCTTCTCTAACAGAAGCGTCTGAGCTCTGCTGCATCGTCATTTTGACAATAAAGGGGGCGCAGCCTGCCGAGTATCTCAGCGCTGGTGCGGAGGTAAGTTTATATCTTAAAAGGGACTTTTTTTTTTTTTTTTTTATGGAAAGTTCATATAAAAGCAAGAAAGAAGGCTAGGGGACCTGTCTTTCTTGCTTTTATATGTTGACTATAGTGCTCCTTTAACACTTTTTACACTTTGTGGAACTCACCACATATCTAGCTGTGGTGGGCTGTCTATTCCATTGTGATCATCATAGAATAAATTGTAACTATTCAGCAATTTATAAACTTCCTATTATGTTGGTCTGCCCAACACTACCATATTTGAATATAGCCAAAATGAATATGTATGCACCCATGCACACAACACTTGCATTTTACTACAAATTATAACTTTAAAGATGCGTTTTAAATACGATAATAATTTAGCTTAAAGGACCACTCTAGGCACCCAGACCACTTCAGCTTAATGAAGTGGTCTGGGTGCCAGGTCCAGCTAGGGTTAACCCTTTTTTTCTATAAACATAGCAGTTTCAGGGAAACTGCTATGTTTGTTAGGGTTAATCCAGCCACTAGTGGCTGTCTCTTGACAGCCGCTAGAGGCGCTTGCGTGCTTCTCACTGTGAAAATCACAGTGAGAAGACGTCAGCGTCCATAGGAAAGCATTGTAAATGCTTTCCTATGAGACAGGCTGAATGCGTGCGCAGCTCCTGCCGCGCATGCACATTCAGCCGAGGAGGAGGAGAGTTCCCCACCCGGGACTGGAGAAAGAGGTAAGTTTAACCCCTTCCTCCCCCCTCAGCGCCACGGGAGTGGGACCCTGAGGGTGGGGGCACCCCAGGGCACTATAGTGCCAGGAAAACGAGTGTTTGTTTTCCTGGCACTAGTGGTCCTTTAAAGCAGCACTATCATGCCGAGCTTACCTTTCTTTACCTTTCGGCATGACAGTGCTGCTTTAATGCACATATCTGCAATGTCACTGCTCAATTCTCTGCCAATTAATCACTATTTATGCAGCCTTAGCCACACCTCCCCAGGCAGTTTGAACCTTCATACAGCTCTTTCAGCACAGTGTATTTACTTTTAGACGTTCCAATATCCTGCTCTGTTAATTGACCTTTAATCCCACGCAAGAGACTGCTGCAAGCGTGAGATAAGAACTTATCCAAAATAAACCCCAATAAAGAAAGCTTTAAAAATTGACCTCTTTTTCAGGAAATGGGTAAGGATACTGTGTGAATCAGGGGAGATGTGGCTATGGCTATCTAAAGTGATATTTAACTTCTAAATCGCAGTTAATTGAGCACTGACTGCACAGCCCGCATAATCTTTACACCAAGGCCACTTCATTAAAGGAACACTTAAAGCTCCATAGCAACATCATCTCAAATATCTACTTTGGGTTTGAACCGTTCATCAGCAGTTTAACCCCTTAACGAAAGATGACCCAGAACTTTCAGGCACCATAACTTCTGCATTGAGAGAAAGTTGAAATTGTGCTTAGCTGAAATTATTTTGGTGCTTGAGTGTCTATCCCTTTAAGTTTGTAATCTGATTTTGAAAAGTACTATATTTTGTGATCTGATTAGTATGGAATGATTGGGCATTGTTAAAAACCCTAAAACAAAGTCTTGACTAAGCCACTCTGGGATTCTGTAAGCTTGTGTATCACTAAGCAATGTCCTACGCAATACACTGAAAACTCTTGTGTGCCTGTGTCTATAGAAGACTTGCTTTGTCATCAATGTCTTGTTAGTTTTAAGGTTAGAAATACTTTTTAGCCTGTATAGCTGGGTTGCTCTTCTTTAGAACCTGCAGTTCAATCTAATGCAAAACATAATTTCAGTGATGCTGTATATATAATGTTTGCAGATTCAAGAAGAAAGGGTAAATAGTTGCAGGAAGACAGGGAAAAAATAGAGAAATTATGAGAACGTAACAAAAATATAATGCAAGCCGGCATCACGTTACTTCCTGTACTTTGGTTATGGTTTTTTGATGACGGATGTGGCTGTGGAATTTAATTTAAATATACAGTATATTTTTAGAACAGTAAATCTGTTTACTAAACCATATGTTGCAGGGGGTGTTTGACCATCTGGCAAAATTTAGGTCATAATCAATGTTTTATTTTTATTTTTTAACCTAAATTTTAAAAGTCCGTTGTCAACCCACCACAATCTTCTATTTACTAGATCATTAAGAATATTGAAAACTGGCGGCCTATCGAGCTAGTCATTATGTGATATCATGCAGCGATTGTATACCATTCCTTAGAGACTCTAGTGAATTTTTTTTTTATTTTTTTTTTAAAGCAATTTACTCACTAAAAAAAGTCTGGTCTATATGTATATTTTTCAGTTTAGAATTACAGAGGACTTGTTTAGAAGCTTCTGTCCTGAAATATTTATACAGGCTATTATGTTGAACAATGAACTATAATTTGCAAGGCTTTGTCTGTTAGTCCCAAAACACAACTGAAATGCATTATTTTCTAGGCTATGACATGTCAACCTTCATCCGACGTTACAGCCGATATTTAAATGAGAAAGCTCTTTCCTACAGACTGGTAGCTGTCGACTTCACCAAAATGAAAAGAGGGTATGGCAAATATCATGCTTGGTTATTTCCTTTGCCACCACAAACTGTTATCTATAAATTTGATTTATTTCACGTTTCAGAGTAGATGGCGTGATGAGAACTATGGCTACTGAAAAGCTATTGAAGACTCTTCCAATCATTCAAAACCAATTGGATGCTCTTCTAGATTTTGATGTAGGTATCAAAAGAAAAAAGAAGCAAGAAGACAGTGAAGTTGTAACAATTATGTAACAAAATACAGCGTCAACTTCACATGTTTTTTGTCTTTATTTGTTTTTTCTCTTTGAAATAGGCAAACCCAAATGAGCTTACGAATGGTGTTATAAACACAGGCTTCATGCTTCTTTTCAAAGATTCGATTCGGTTATTTGCTGCTTACAATGAAGGTGTTATTAACTTGCTAGGTATGTGTGACAACTGACGTTATTCAACCCATTACGTAGGTATTTATTATTTGTTATTGTTTTTGGAACTATCAATGTGCAGTGCTGCATAGACTTTTTGATCAGTAATCTGTATATTTTGCTAATTCTACTAATGAGAAATAAGCCAGTGTGCTTTCTATTTTATAAGTCTTATCTTTCTATAAAGTGTATGAAACTAGTTTTACATAAAACTATTCAAAGAGGAACTGTACAGTTTAAAAGCGTGAATTACTTTATATTTCCACATAGCGTGTTGTTGTTGTTATTATTATTATTTTATTATTTATATAGCGCCAACAAATTCCGTAGCGCTGTACAATGGGTGGACTAACAGACACATAATTGAGATCAGACCACTGACGTACAGGAACAGATGGGGTTGAGGGCCCTGAGCTTAGTGTTTTATGGTCTTCTTGCATCCCGTGTCAGATATTTACATACTATTTTGCCTTTGTGTGTGTTTGTTTGTTTTGTAGAAAAATACTTTGATATGAAGAAGACCCAGTGTAAAGATGCTCTGGATATGTATAAGAAATTCCTTGCCCGCATGACAAAACTGTCAGAATTTCTCAAAGTGGCAGAGGTATGTGCTCTCTGTTTAGCATCAAAGGGGCTTTATTTAGCTATTGGCACTGGTACAGTAGCATGTGTGCATGTGACAACTTGAATGCTGAAACAAGCTATATTGATAAGTAAATGGCCATTGAATGCTAAATAAAACTCACACTATTAATGCTCTTTTGCTTGATACCATTTTTCATTTCTGTTCCTGTTTTGTGTTAACGAAAGCAATTTGTAAGATTTGTACCTTAGCATATACCATTCATTTTCCAAATAATTTATTTGAACATTAAATTATTATTTATTTATTTTTAAATAACCGTGGCTATTTCATAATAAATACTATTGAGTGCATCAAAAAGAACTGCATGATAAGTGCTTGATATTTTTATTTGTTTTTAATTGTTTTTAAAAAAATTTCTGTTTGCCAATGCAACTGTACCAGTTCAGAAAGTTAGTAATGTCCCTTTCTCTGCCATCTTGTGTGTAAACATTCAAATTCCATAGCACTCTCCATTACCACTGCATGAAGTAATGTACACTTTTTCTTTCCTCCTCCTGTTTTTTTGTGAACTCAGCAAGTTGGAATTGATCAGGGTGACATTCCAGATCTTACTCAGGTCAGTGTGCATTCCATGTTCATTTACTCTGATATTTTTGTTGCTCCTTTTTTTTGCCTCTGTTTTTTTCCATAATTCATTATCTTGAGAATTGTTCTCTTCCATATAAATTGCTTATATGGAAATGCATACCTGTGAGTTGGTGTATCGGAATTCTTCATCTCTGTTGTCAATTAATTAACTTGTTTATTGTACTGTAAATAATGCTGGTCTAACTATAACATAATGTTTGGATCATTTGAGGTTGGGAGGTATCTAGAAGAGGATTTGCTACTTGCTTATGTGTTACCCATGCCGCAGCACAAACACTGTTTTTGTTTGGTTCCATGGTCAGCTTGGATGACGTATGAACTTTTTTTTTTGCAATTTTATTTTTCTTTCGATTTCTTTTTACAACGCACATTCATGTGCATGAAGTAATGCGCAGTCACTGGGTAACTCATTATTTTTTTTTTTTTGGTTTTGTTTTTTTAGTGTCAGCATGTTTAAATTTTAAGGCATTATCTTTAACGCTGAAATCACTTGAGGATTTTTCTTTTTCCTGTTTTGGGTTTTGTATGTATAGGCGCTATAATGTGACTGTTAATTTACAGGCACCCAGCAGTTTGCTTGACGCCCTTGAACAACACTTGGCATCTCTTGAAGGAAAGAAAACAAAGGAAGTATCTGCAGCCAGTCGGTGAGTTCCATTAAATAGCCAAAAAACCTCTGGCAATCTTGACCAACTGCTTCTTGGGAACTGTAGTACACATAATCCAGCGCAACCAGAGTTTATTGTCCCTGACCTGTAAATAATATGTAGAAAGTTAAAGGGACACTATAGTCACCAGAACAATTAAATCTTATTGTATTTGTTCTGGTGAATAGAATATTACCTTCAGGCTTTTGCTGTAAACACTGTCTTTTCAGAGAAAATGCAGTGTTTACATTACAGCCTAGTGATAACTTCACTGGCCACTCCTCAGATGGCTGTTAGAGATCCATCCTGGGTCATGGCTGCCTAAAATGCATCCAAACATTCAGTACCTCCTCCCTCTGCATGCAGACACTGAACTTTCCTCATAGAGTTTCATTGATTCAATTCATCTCTATGAGAAGACTGTGTTTGACTTGTGTTGGCTTTGCCCCTGATTTGCCTCCTTCACAGTCTCAGCCAATAATATGGGGAAGCATTGTGACTGGTTCAGAACAACACTTCTGATGTCAGCAGACAGCTTGCAGGTTTGAGGCACACAGGCGCAGAACTAGCAGCTTCAGGCTTGAATACAAATAAGATCTTACTATATTTAGGCAAGGGAGGGCCAGGGGGACTAGATAGTGGTTTTAACACTATAAGGTTAGAAATGTATATTTGTGTTCCTGAACCTATAGTGCTCCTTTAAAATGTTTTTTTGTTTGGTTTGAGAAACTTCAATTGACTAAGTGATAGGTGTGGCAGAACCAGTATATGTAGAAATCATTTTCCCACTAATGTGGCCATTCATAAATATATTTTTTATATTTTAAGTTATAGTTTACTGCATAGTTTCAGTGTGCCTATCTATCTATCTTTTTTTTTTTTTTTTTTTTTTTTTTTTTTTTTTTTTTTTTTTTTTTTTTTTTTTTTTTTATGGAGTGTTGTGGTAGTTTCATACTAGAAGAGCTAAAATAAATGTTTTTCACAAGGCTTTTGACAAAAATCTTGATATTTAATTGATCAATTTTGCAAAATTATTTATTTTTTTGGTGGTAAATAAAACAAATGTGTATATCGTTTGCTGGATTGTGTTACTTAGTGCCATTGCTCACATATTTTGTATGCTTTCAAAATGTAGATTTCTCGTTCATATAAATACAAAGTATTTAGTCCCTTACTTGTTCTAAGCTTTTCAAGCACCATTACGAATTCAGTGACGTAGAGTGGTCATGGTTCCTGCAGTGTATATGTGCAGCGTTGCACAGTGTAACTCCACCACGTCATTTAAGACATAACTAGCCATCGTGGATTCAGCGTTTATGGCCGGCAAATATTACTTCTGTGTATGGTCCTATGCACAGAATTGCATACATTGGCTGTGGTCTAAGACAATAAGTGGGCAGCTGGAGTGACTCCTGGCTTTTGCAGCTCTGCAGAAGCTGAATGTTGTCACCACCTAGAGAGGAGACCAGGTGCCTGGCAAGACCCAAGTAAGAGGGCAAACTATTGTAAAACAGTTTGCCCATTTCCCAGGAAACAAGGCAAGGGTACTTCTGGCATCATTTACGTCTGGAGGGCACTACCATTCTGCAGAGATAGGTACATTAATTTGGAGTGTGTATATAAACTCTGTAAGATGTAGACAGAGATGAATTCCCTCTCCCATTAATGTGACTCTTGTATATTTGTTATTTTGTGTTCGTGCAGGGCAGACATTTCCCTTATTGTATTGCACTGACCATTAAGGATTGTTACAATTCAAAATTCTGTGAGTGAGCCAGAGTTAGAGTCTGGCTATGCACAGTTTGGTAGTGAATGGGGTTTGTTTTCCAAGACACACATGCCATTGACTTCACTCTAAACAAAAATGTCTGCCACAAGTAAATATTTGTGTACAAACACCTTCCTAATAGCTCTGCACACTTACTATACCGTTTTCAGAATTTGAAATAAGCTTCATGCTCTGGATATTCACGGGTTACCCATGTGAGAGCTACAAATACAGACATTGCTATAAAAAAAAAAAAATTACTAAATTATTTTCCAGGGTACATCTAGAATGACTCTGTTCAACCTCTACAGTATTTATTTGGCTAAGAATGGGTGCGCAAGTGACAATTTTACTGTTAAACTTTATTAAAGGTTACATAAAAGCTGGAGTCAACCTAGTAGAGTCCTGATACCGAAGGTTTTGCTCCGTACTGAATTACAAAAGACCAGTGTGCCATGGCTCACGGACTGAAAACCACTTATCCTGAAGCTGAGAGGAAAGACATTACGTTTGCACCTAGGCAATCTGATGTAATTCAAACCAAATAGATGATCCATTAAAAAAAAAAAAAGTATTCATAAATACATATACATTTACATTCAGAAATATTTGGACACTGACACAATCTTCATAATTTTGGCTCTGTATGCCACCACAATTACTGAAACACTCGAGATACAATTGAAGTGCAGGCTTTCGGTTTCAATTAAAGTGGTCGAGCAAATATATTGTGTGAAACATTTAGGAATTTCAACCATTTTCATACTCAAATAGTCCAATTATTTCAGGGGCTCAAATGTAATTGGACAAATTAACACAATCCTAAATAAAATGTTTTATTTTTAATACTTTGTCGAATGAAGTCAACCCTTTGTTCAGTGGTGGAACTAATGCAGATAGGGTTGTGGTGCAAGAAATTATTTTGGGACCCCATCCAGCACCAAAATGTTGCGCAGCGATGGTGATGTAAGCATATTTGTTTATGGTGGATGTTTGTGTGAAATTAAGGTGTGTCTTTGTGTATAGTGTTGACATTTGAATGCAGCTGTGTGTTAATATGTACTGTTGCTACTTATAAACAGTGGTGTACTTCTGTAGTGTGTTTGAATGTGGGGGTATGTTTTTGTGTAGTTTTGTTGTTTGTGTATAATGCTGGTGTTTTAATACAGGAATGTGTTTGTGAGTAGTTTTAACATTTGATTGCAGGTTTGTGTTTGCATGTAGTATTGACATTTGATAGTTTTAATTTTAAATAATTTTAATGTTTGAGTGCTGGGATGTATTCACATATACACACATGGCCACACTATAACACAGAAACACATACACTAGCACACACACATATACCTACACACAGATACATATACCCCCCTCCACCCACACACACTGGCACATGTGCACATACACTGGTGCACACACAGATACATATACCCCCGTTGTCCCTATACCTTTTGGTTGCAGGGAGATGACTCCCTGCGGTTGGCTGCCAATGATAGGAGTCTGAGTATCTATGCCTGCAGTGCTCTTCCTCTGTGTGGTCCCTGCTGCGCGGACCATAGGCTGGGAGGAAGTGACAGATGGATTTCTCAAAGTATCACAGATACTGCAGAGACCTGTGTAGCAACAATGCCCATCGGGTGGCCCTTAGTGCATTGGCCACCCAGTGGGCCACCATGGCATGTGGGCCCCAGTAGTTCCACCACTGCCTCTGTATTTGCTCTTGTGAAGTCTCATCTTCATGGTAGACTTCCTCCTGGAAAGTGTTCTTTACTTGGCTGGATATTGTGTAAGGGTTTTTCTTTACAATGGAAAGAATCCTACGATCATTAACCACTGTTGTTATCCGTGTACGTTCAGGTCCTTTTCTGTTATGGAACTCACCAATTTTATTTATTTATTTTTCTCTTTCTCAGAATGTACCAAAATGTTGCTTTGGCTACTCCTAATGTTCCTATCATCTCTCTGGATTTTACATTTTTTTTTGCAGCCTTAGGATGTCCTGTTTCACGTGCATTGAGAGTTCCTTTGACCGCATGTGGTGTGTTCACAGCAACAGCTTACAAATGTGAAATGCCACACCTGGCATCAACTTCAGATCTTCTACCTGCTTAATTGATAAAGAATATAGCCCACACCTATCCATGAAACAGTTTTTGAGTCAATTATCCAATTGCTTTTGGTCTCTTGAAAAAGAGGGGGCTACATATTATTGAGCTGTAATTCCGGAATCCTTTCTACAATTTGGATTTGAATAACCTCAAATTAAAGTATACCCAGAATATTCATTTTAAAGCTAAAATATATGATTTGAAAAAAATCTACAAAGTCGCTACAGATTAGCTAGAGTTTGAAGTTTACTACAACTCCAAGAATCTCTCCCTACTTGCTCCAGACAGTTTTAACTTTGTGATGATTTTTTTTTTTTTTTTCCTACTAATTCTGGTATAAAAAGGCTGTTTATTCTATCATGTAAGTCCCAGATACGTATTCTTAAAAGTTTGGCTTGTCTCAGATTATTTCCTTTTGTTAGTTCTCAGTCTTTTTTTTTTTTTTTTATTATTATTTAAAGGGACACTCCACTGCCAAAACACAAAATAAATACAAATTACTGGTTAGTAGATGTACTCAAAATTAAACCTTGCATTAATTTAATTATGCATTTGTCCATTGAGGTTATATCTAAAAACAGCTTGCAAATCCTGCAGCTCTCTTGTTAATGAGATGTCTCTTTGCAAGGCAGGTGTTCTGAGCAATTGTCTGCCTCTTGTGTTTAGCTCCACTGAGCTAACCAAACCAGGAAATAACAGGGCCTGTTATCTGCTTGAAGGCCAGGGGGTGTAACCAGCATAAATTTATAAGTGTCAATTTCTATTGAAATGTGCACTTTTGCAAAATGAAAAAATGGGACACTCTTCACATATAAAGCTATTCAGCAAATTAAATTGATTTAGGGGTCTGGAGTGTCCCTTTAAATAAACCCCACTTTGTTTCAGTCTCATTGATTTCAGGCAGCTTATGCAAAATACTGTGATGAAAATCTTCAATTAATCCTATCTATCAGTGTTACAAAATGTACCCAGGAAATGTGTCAATATTGCATTGGTCATGTACTTTATGCAATACAGTTTATGCAAGCTTCACTTAAAGGACCACTATAGTGCCAGGAAAACATACTCGATTTCCTGGCACTATAGTGCCCTGAGGGTGCCCCACCCTCAGGATCCTCCTCCCACCGGGCTGGATGGAGAGGAAGGGGTTAAACTTACCTCTTTCTCCAGTGCCGGGCGGAGAGCTCTCCGCCTCCTCTCCTCCTTTTCGGTTGAATGCGCATGTGCGGCAAGAGCTGCGCTCGCATTCAGCCAGTCAATAGGAAAGCATTCTTAACTTTTTGATAAGTGTTCCAGTTGATTCAATACTGTTATAAAAACGTTTCAAATTATGTATCTGCAAAAAGTCACAAACTTGATGAAGTGTGTGTGTGTGTATAAATTTTATTTTTATTTTTTTGGTCAATCTTTTATTTTTGCAGTGCGTGAGTAACATAAACAAGCTCGTATCGCCACAACAGCGTGTACAAGCTAAAACAGTAATACAGTGTTATGGCATGCAAGAATGGCACCCTTTTTTTGTTAGTAAATGCAGGTTAGGTACTTATGTCTTAAGTTATAGCCTGTACTAGTTGGGTAAAAACGAGGTGAAAATAAGACTCATCGATTGATAATAAAGGAGTACTACTATGAAAAGCGTTTCTTAGGGCTAGCATACTCTTAGATTAAATTATTTCAGGCTAAACATGCATAAAGGCTAAAGGCCACATGTTCGGCAAGACAAATATGTAGCGGGCTTAAAAGTTGTAAACCACAAGGCTTTGGGGCGCGTCTGCATCAAGCAAGGCTTGTTAAGAAATAGACCATTGGACTGAAAAAAGAGAAAAATCATACTTTTCTAATAAAACGAAAGCAGAATATACATTTATGGCATTGCTGGTAATGTTCAGCAGGCATCATGTATCTGCCTGTTTAGAGCTGCCTGTGAGTAAGTCCCGGTGTGCACGCTGTGGTACTGTCCAGGAGTGTGTTTGTGCATTTATCCTATGCCCACGATCAGGGAGCTGCCAGCAGGTTGGTCTAGGGTCCGCATCCAATTTTGGCCACTCCACCGGCCCCAGGCCTTCTCAAGGGCCCTTCATGCACTTTCCACCGCTCCGGTCACTTTCAGCACCGCAAGCGAGGTCCCGGGCGGTTGTGTGATGGAAAAGTCCCGTCCAGGCATGTGGGGTACGTAGCATGGTGTTTCCCTTTCGGGCCCTCAGCCCAGGAAGGCCGATGTGAGCCTTGGGTTTTATGGGCCGCCTTCTCCGCTTCGCTGGTCTCCGTTTCCCAGGCGTCGTGTGCGGTCTTTTCTTTTCGCCAGCCACTCCACGCAGTTTTTCCGGTGGTGAGTAATGCGGTTGTGTAGGGTGTAGCGGCTCCCTCTGGGTCTGTGCCCCTTTGTTTTGCATTCTCTGCCAGAAGTTTTCTAGGAGGTCGTCCAGGCGCTGCTAGAGTGTCTGCAGTCGGTTCAGTGTGTCTGCAGCTGGTACAGTAGCCGCCATTTTGAGGCAGATTGCGCCCCTCTGTCTTTTCTTTAAGACGATGTGCTTGTCAAAGGTGTAGCTTGGCTGTGGTGATGGTGTCGGGATAACCCCCACTGGCGGGGGGGGAGCGGGGACCCGTATAACGTCAGCTTGTTCCGGTCGGAGAGGCAGTAGGGAGATCGTCCGCTTCTCCCAGGCTCTCACCTCGAGGTAGGCCTCAGTGGCGGTGCAGGCTCAATCTGCTTGTCTGACGCCTGAAAACCCTTGTGCTGTTGCAGAGTAGCTTGCAGGTAGGTATCAGCGCAAATTTAGCCGTTTGCTTTAAAAAATACTGTTTTTAGGCGATAATTGTTAACTCTTGTACAGAGCCCACACTGCATGCAGCCTTTCAGTTTGGCAGCTAGGCCCCGCCTCCATATATAATTTTAGTGAGGTGTGTGTGTGTGTGTGTGTATATGTGTATATGTGTATGTGTATATATATGTGTGTGTATATAATAAAAAAATTTTTTTATTTTTTTTGCAACATTTATATGATGGATAGTGCTGGGATGTGACATAACTCATACCTTAGCGCTATTCACTGTCTCTCAACATACCACCATGTGAATTAGTAGAAAGAGGGTTCTTGGGGGAAATATTCGGTACTCCTACTTTCCTTGCACTCCCTGGTGTCAGTCTAAGAACTGAAAACCATTTATCGGAGACCTCACATATGTTTTTGGACATAATGGAAAATGTTTATACTTTAACATATTTAAAGGAACACTATAGTCACCTAAATTACTTTAGCTAAATAAAGCAGTTTTAGTGTATAGATCATTCCCCTGCAATTTCACTGCTCAATTCACTGTCATTTAGGAGTTAAATCACTTTGTTTCTGTTTATGCAGCCCTAGCCACACCTCCCCTGGCTATGATTGACAGAGCCTGCATGAAAAAAAACTGGTTTCACTTTCAAACAGATGTAATTTACCTTAAATAATTGTATCTCAATCTCTAAATTGAACTTTAATCACATACAGGAGGCTCTTGCAGGGTCTAGCAATCTATTAACATAGCAGGGGATAAGAAAATCTTAATTAAACAGAACTTGCAATAAAGAAAGCCTAAATAGGGCTCTCTTTACAGGAAGTGTTTATGGAAGGCTGTGCAAGTCACATGCAGGGAGGTGTGACTAGGGTTCATAAACAAAGGGATTTAACTCCTAAATGGCAGAGGATTGAGCAGTGAGGCTGCAGGGGCATGTTCTATACACCAAAACTGCTTCATTAAGCTAAAGTTGTTCAGGTGACTATAGTGTCCCTTTAAGCACTGTAAATATATGTGAATTTCAGATGCAATTTTCAATTAGATCGAAGATTTTGACTTTTGAATCCGTACTAACTCTGCTCTCCGATACATGTCAGTCCCCAAGTACTTGCTTTAGGTGTTACATCTAGTTTTACCGTAAATTTTATTTTGTGTGGCTGCTTTTATCCAGTCAGCTTAACTGCTTGTGAAAGTGAATATTCAAGAGTTTTAGGTTTTTTGCAACCAAACCTTAGACCACGGACTCCTCATTAACTCCTTTTTGTCCTCGTATGGCAGTGTGTGCTAGACATCCATCACATAAGCAGCATCATGCCATGCTGAAAACATGAGGCTAGATGGATATGTAATTATCACAACTGTATGGTTGAATAGTATGTGCAGTTGTATGCATGTACACACAAACATATTCATTATATATAGTTTGAGAAAGCATACATATATTTTATCTATCATCAATTGTTTGTGTTTTTTTTTTTGTCTTTTTTCCTTACAGAGCAAGCACCTTATCCAGTGCTGTATCATCTCTTGCAACAACTGGGCTGTCATTTAGCAAAATGGATGAAAAGGAGAGACAGCTGGCACTTGAAGAGGAGCAAGCAAGGCTGCAGGCACTTAAGGTATTTATTGAGACCTTGTGGAATGGCCAAGAAAATGGATGTTCTATTTCTGTTTTTTTATTTTTTTTTATTTATTTTTTACCTCAATTGGTTACCTGTCAAATTCTTTGTTTGATATTTGATTCTGGGACTGACTGGAAAAACAAAAAACAAAAAACAACCTCCTATGCAATGTATACCAGTATTCTATAGCTCCCATAGTCATAATAGCTTCCTGCTCTGTCTTGGCGTAAGATAAATATAGCAGTTGTTTATTGTGCAAGATTTCTGCACAAGAGATCATTTAGAAAATGAAAAGTGAGCAGCAGCCGTATGAGACAGCCCAGGCCTGCCAACCTGGGACCCTGTTAGTCAATGGGGGAAGATGAGACTGGATGACAACTTATGTTGCTAGTTGTAATGGCACTAGAGCTTCACCTGGATTCTCTTATCCAGTCCAGGTTACAGCTCTCTCTTTGAGTAACAAAAATAAAGTAGTAGATAACTCAAAGTAAAAAGAACAAAACAAATTTAATCTAAGTAGTATGCATACAAAAACAGCAACCGCAAAATCACTCATGTACCCATGACACAACAACTGGACTGTTGTTGCCACTAGATGCTTCCACTATACACAAATAGTGTTTTAAAGTTAACTAAACGGAATGACTTGTTGCAAAAGTGTATGTTTGAAGTCATTTGACAGTGCCATATTTAGAGTTCTTCAGTATGACACATACTGCCTGTTTTTGTCTGTGGACATTTAATGTCCTTAATTTTAATGCACTTGATGGCAAGGGATTCGGGTAGAGTACCTTAACCTAACAATTGGTAGGGGTATACATATCCTTTGGACTGCATAGTGTATATTAATAGGTCAGAACACCATAGTATAGAATACAACATGGAGGGTGGCTAATTCAAACATACTTCTTGTGTATTTGCCTTAAATTCCATGTTAAAAGTAATTTGGTTATATTTGTGGTCCTGCAGAAGAATTTTATGGATTATTGTACAAGAGTAGAGAAAAGAAAGGGGGGGAAGGGCTGCGCTATACGTATATTATAGAGAGTAAACTATATAAAGAGCTTGCTGGTTAAAACGGAGTCCATGCAAAAGTAGACAATAAAACAAAGTCCATGCAATAGTAGAGATCAAATAATAAAATGTCCAATAAAATCGTCTCACTGGTATATGGACAGGGCGTATATACAATCCTCAGGAGTAGATCCGTCCGGGTTGTAGGTGGTCCGTATATGTGAAGATAAAAGCACAACAAACTTCCAATGGTGTAGTTTTACAACTTAAGGAGTAAGTAAAGTAAAAATGGAGGAAAATACACTCACATTTGATGGAGCTTTGGACCAGCTCTTGGATGAAGGGCATTTAGCGGTATAATCCCCGCTAGAGGATATACTGTGGCTGTAGATCTGTCCGTCCAACTGGGTTTCCGTAGTTGTCCGTAAAATATATAAAAACCATAATAGTGCTCTCAATTGGAAAAGATAAAATATACTCACAATGATAGAGCAGAAAGTACTGCTTTATAGGTACAGCTCTGGTGGAATAATCCCCACCTATGGATTGCTTGGACAGGATACAGTAGAATGCCAGGAAAAATAAATAAATAAAAGAAAGTGTATATGCAATAAAATAAAAATTGGTCCTATAACAAAAGGATACCAAATAAAACTTTTTATTGTTAAAATAAACAATTTTAAACCATTTAACGCATTTCGCCTCTGGGGCTTTATCAAAAATGGTAAAAGAACAGCATACCTGGCATTGAACAGTTTATATAGCAATGTACAGTAGTTGAAATTGGCGCCCAAAACAATTGGTCCAATAGCAAACAAGAATTGGCAAAAGATTTTTTGGGGGTTTTGCAAAATAGAATAAAACCTGTTGTGTATATATTTATAGGGCTTACCTAAGTCCTAGAGTATAAATGTATAATAAAAACGAGGGTAGTATTTGACATATATTGTTTTAAACCGAGTCACGTGATCGGAGCGAGGGGGTGTGGCAGATGTAATGGTGAGCGGCGAATGACGCACGGCTCACTCAGTGAGGTGGTACAGCCCCCTGTTAGCATGTGACCGGCAACTGGGAGCAGTGCTCACAGGGAAATGTAGTTTTGCCGGTCACAATGCACACAGGGAGGGGCAGTGAGCGGCTGACTAGAAACTGTTAGCCAGTCGCTCACCTACAGATCTGCTATTATGGGTGGTCAAAAGGACCAAAATAGTCTATCAAGCAATGCTTTTGAATAGGGAAAAATACTAAAAACAAAATTTTGTCTTTACATGTATATACAAATATAAAAACAGGGAGAGAGATAATTGAGGATAAAATAAATGCAGATAAAAATACAAACAGATAAAAGTAAAAACAAATTGAAAAGTGAAATGTATCATAAATTATTAATAATAATGGAATGGAAAATTTGTTATTGAAAAAGAATAATAAAATATAAAGAGTGCAAACTCATAGAAAATTATGTAAATCAAAGTTTACATTTAAACCTTGTGGTGCAAGAGTCTGCAAATTATAAACCCATTCCATCTCTACTTTTCCTAAAATATTTTTGATAAGGTAAATATCTTAATTCCTATACACTTTAGTAGTTTAGGATCTTTATTGTGATTCAAAAAATGTTTGGATACAGAATGGCTTATGTATCCATTTTTAATATTTCTACAATGTTCGCTTATTCTGGTTTTCAGGCTCCTTGTGGTCATTCCAACATACTGGAAGCCACAAGGGCATTCAAGCAAATAAATTACATTTTTCGTGTTGCAACTTATAAATTCCTTAATTTTATAAGTGATTTTAGTCCTGCTTGAGGTGAATTCAGTAATTTTAGGCGGTAGTGTAGAATCAGTAGTTTTGCACACAGTACATGTTTTGCATTTATAAAACCCTTTAACTTGTGGAAAAAAAGATACTGAGTTAATATATTGAATTTTTTTAGTAAAATTTGTAGTTAAAATAGATTTAAAATTTGGAGCTCCTCTAAAAACTATATTTGGCTTACTCGGGATAATTTTATTAAGTTTGTCATCATGTTCTAAGACAGGGGTTCTCAACGTTAGTCCTCAGGACCCCCTACCAGTCCAGGGTTTAGGGATTACCTGGGTGTGTCTAAGGTGTTTATAGAAAGAAAAAAAAACACCTTTTGAGTCTAAGGTGTTTTTTTTTCCCATTTTTCTAAACACCTGAGACACACCCAGGTAATCCCCAAACCCCTGTTCTAAGATGTGCCAATGCTTTTTTTAATGATCTTTTTAATTTCTCTGCTTTTGTTGTTATAGTCAAAAGTAATAGGAAGTAATGTGGAATCATTGTTTTTTTTCGTTTTGTATTTTAGAAGTTCATCTCTATTTATAGTTTCTATCTTACTAATTTTTTCTTTTAAATCTGTTTCCAAATTTCTTTCCATACATTTATTTTTTAGGATATCCGCTTGTTCTTTGAAGTTTTCTAGATCAGTGCAATTTCTGCTTAGTCTCAAAAATTGACTTTTTGGGACGCTGTCAAGCCATGGTTTATAATGACAGCTAGTTTTGTCGATGGCTGTACTGACAGACTTTTTAAAAAAAAGGCTTTAGTGTGTACTTTATCATCTTTAATAAAAATATCAAGGTCTAAAAAAATGATTTGTTCTCTACTAAAATCATGCGTTAAAATTATGCCTCTATTATTGTTATTTAAAATATTAATAAAAGAAATAAGACTGTCTTCGGGCCCATCCCAAATAAAAGCGGTCATCTATATATCTAAAATATGAGACCAGGTTCGCCCTTAGTTGGTCCCCATCGTATATTGCGGAAGATTCCCAATCTGACATGAATAGGTTAGCGTAACTAAGAGCGAACTTGGTACCCATAGGAGTCCCCTTTTTTTGAAGATGAAAAGAATCTAAAAACCTAAATCTAAAAAAGTTATTTTTTTTTAAGATGTCTATACCTTCCAATGTAAAATCTATCTGTTTCTTAGAGAGCCTATTTTCATTAGTTAAAATATTTTTGATAGCTTTGATGTATTGTACAAGAGTACTCTCTACCAGATGGTTACCTGAGTAGTTGTTGGATTTGTGTTCCTTCGTACGCTAGAGGTTATTCTGGGAGGCAATTTGTTTTCCTAAAAAAGATGGGTTTTAAGGAACTTCTTAAGCGATTGGAGAGTCTGATGGCGGTAGGTAGGCTATTCCATAGGAAGGGAGCCGCCCGCGAGAAGTCCTGCAAGCGTGAGTTGGCCGTACGGGTGTGAACAATCGATAAGAGAAGGTCATGGGCAAAGCGGAGAGACCGAGAAGGGCATATCTATGGATCTGTGAAGAAATATGAGGGGCTAGAATTGTTCAGTGCTTTATAGGTATGGGTTAGCACTTTGAATTGACTCCCATAGGATACAGGAAGCCAATGTAAGGACTGACAGAGGGGTGAGGTGTGAGAGGACCGACTAGAGAGGAAAATCAGTCTGGTGGCAGCGTTCATTACAGACTGTAGAGGGGCATTACGGCTTTTGGAAAGACCAATTAGGAGAGGGTTACAATAATCCATGCGGGAAAATACTAGGGCATGGACAAGCTCCTTGGTAGCATCTTGCGTAAGAAAGGGACGGATGTGGGCTATGTTTTTAAGATGGAATCTTCAGGATTTGGAAACATACTGGATGTGAGGCCAGAGTCAAGTATGACGCAAAGACCGCGCGGTTGCAAGGATGGACTACAGATCCCTCCTCTCCCTCCTCATCCATTAAATAAATCTTTTTATGCAACAGTGTAAGAAATTGATTTAGTAATGCTTGGTTGAACAAAGCTAAGTTCTGTGGTGTGTTTTAAGTAAATATTTTTGAAGAAACCCACTTATTGAAACAGGTTTACATGTTCCATACAGGGAATTTCCAGGAAACAGTGGCTATTCAGACACATATATACATACATACATACATACATACATACACCACACCCCACACACATACACATACGTGTGTATATATATGTGTGTATACATGTAAAATGGATTTCAATCCTTGCTTACACTAAAGCAAAGCATGTTGCCAGCTGAATATCCTCCCCACCCTTCACCCCTCATGTTGACTACGGTTATGTTATTTCTTGTGCACTAAAATTGTACTACCAGACTTTACAACTTGATATGTTTTCCTGCATGACACATGCTGTACTGTATTAAATTTTAGTTGAGTGCATTCATAAAAAAAAAGCAGTCTGCAATTGTCTGTGTTTTTGCAACCAATAAAAGTATATATGGGTGCACATTTGCCTCAGTTGGGAGGTTGGAAATTATAAGTTGAAATAGTCATTTATGCTTGTATATTGCCCACTTTGCACAAAACATATTACTTTAATAGCACTGCCTATTATAAATGCCCTTTTGAATAACAATTGTAGTAGTGGTTATTTATGATCAACTTCCTCTTGATTTTAACAGGAACAACGACTTAGAGAGATATCTGTGGTGTCAAACTCTACATCTGCGTCACCGAGCACTTTATCTGGGAAAAGTGTGAATACAACTGCAGCTGTAGACTTATTTTCAACACCTGCACCGACAACCAATAGGTGAGAAAACAGGACTAATTGAATTTATTGCATGCTTGACTGGTTTTAAATTTAAAAGAACACTAAAGTGTTAGGAATACAAAAATGTGTTCCTAACACTATGGTGTCCCTCACACCTCCCCCGATTGCAAAAGGTTAACGCGCTTTTTTTTTTTTTTTAACTTGCCTGATTCCAGTGCTGATGTCCCTTGGCACTGGATTGGGCTCCTCCTCAGCTGACGTCACAACAATTCGGTAACCTGATGTGCGCATTGATTAAATGGTTTCTTATTGGAATTTTCTAGACACCAGACAACCTCATTCAAAGCGTGTGGATGTTCAGCATCATTTCATGGAGTCAAACTCTGTGATATTGTAAAAAGCGCCTCTGGTGGATGTCTGATAGACAGCGGTTAGAGACCATGTTAACGCTGCAATATAAGCATTGCAATTTATCTAAAACTGCAATGTTTTCCATTGTAGGTTTAAGTTAAGGGGAAAGGGACAGTACACCCAGACCAATTCATTGAGCTGAAGTGGTCGGAGTGCTTATAGTGTCCCTTTAAAACCAGTAAATGGTGCTGGCCTTACTAATTGCTAATCTTCCTCTGTTTCATGTTCACATGTGAAATTTAGTAATGTTTTAGTAGCATTAAGTGCTGTTTATATGACTCTAACCTGCATCATTGCTTAAATTCAAATGTTGTGGGCTTAACTAATGTATTTTTTTTTTCTTCCTTTTCCCCATTATTCCTTGCAGCATGCCTAACCTTACCAGTGATCTGTTTGATCTTCAGCCTGCATTTGTGCCAACAGTACAGAGCACCCCTGCTATAGCAACATCTGCAAACAGTACATGGGGAGGTAGGATTTTTCAAGTGAATAGACCGAAACCGCTAGATTTTAACTATGTACCATCAGAGTGGCCACAGTTGCATTCTACTGTTGAGAAGCAAGAAAATATTTTACTGGGAATTAAGTCTTAATTAAGTTTTTGGAAATGGTGTGTTTATTTAAACTGTATTTATTTAATTTGGGTGTTGTAGATATTTTTACTATTTGTGTATTGAGATATTGAGGATTAAACATATTCCATATAAGCATAGATGTACACACCAATGTGCAGGTTATAGCTGCAAGAGTTGCATACAAACGTACACAAGGATTTACATTTGGGTTCTCTGCAGTAGGTACATAATGTCATTCGTGAAAGTTTGCCTTTCTCAGAATCATCAGGATAGTCATTTGTTGTATCAAAATCCCCTTACCATCCATCAAATATATTTTACATGTAAAAACTCTAGGTTATGCCTTTGTTTGTGTAAAGGTTAATACAGTGAGCCAAAAAATGTTTTTTAACACAGAGTGACATTGACTTAAGCTGGTAATAGACTTAAAATTGAAGTACCCTTAACCTAATGTCCATTTCTTTTATATGAAGAATAAATGTTATATTTTCATTATACTTCAAGTAACAAAATATTAACATAGTACATCAGATGGGTGGAAAGACTTGAGATTTGTTGTTGACTATTGCTTTTAGGTCATTTGGCATGCATGAGTCGCTGTGACTGTTACTTGCACACTCTTTATACCGTGCTTTTGTTTTGAAGGTCACTTTTCATCATCAAATGGTGTCAGTTCGCCTCCACAATTGGACATCTTTGACATGCAACCTGTTGAAGATGTTGTAAAGTCTACTCCCCAATATAGCACTTCTGCATTTACTTCAAATCAATCTATGGGACTAATTAGTGGTAATTTGTTTTGTTTCTCCTCCCCCCAATATAAAATTGTCTAATGATCTCTAGCAATATCGCGTTGTTGGCCGTGAATGAGATAAACAGAGTACAAAATAAAATAGTCTATTCTAACCTCTCTAAGTTAAAGACTGTATAGCATGGTTTGGCAGTGGTAACATTCAGAGAAATTGCTTATGTTTTTGTTTTTTTGTGCTATTTTTCTCTCTGTCCTTAGTATTTCAAAAATTTAAAGCACATAGAAATTTGGTCATGGGCCTTACCTGTAAGGTTTTGCCTACAGCACACTTAATAAAATTATAAGCGCACACAGGCTGTAGGCTGCAGAAAAGTCAGGAGCTGGACCTTTACTTAGTTATACACGACGCACTGCTCCATGATTCTCAGCTATGCTCCTCTTAGATGTCGGTATATCTTACAAGAGCGCAGCTGAGAATCACAGAACTTTGCGTCACACAGAGGTGAGCACAGCACAGATTGATCAGTGGCCAACCTGAGTCAGAGCAGCCTGCATAGTCAAGGTGATGCAGACAAAGTAAAATCAATGTGGCATTGATGATCGTGTGTGCATGATAAAATAGTCAGTGTGGCATGGATGATGAGGCCCAAATAAAATGGAGGCAGTGTGGCATGGATGTGGTCAGAACAAATTGAGGCATTTAGGCAATGTGGCATGTGAGCATAATAAAGTGGAGGCACACTGAAATGTGTGGCATGTGGGCATAATTGTGTAGCTTGCAATCATATTTGTATTATATTAAAATGTGGCAATTCGTTACTAACCATGAGAGAAAGGGAGTGACAATATTATCTTGAAACTTTCTGGTTTACTTTTGCATAAGTATTTAGCGTGCACGTACTTTTGTAACAGAAAACAAATTGCACATCTACTGTTAAAACACAAGGATACATAGGTCATGGGAAGAGTTTAACTTCTATGTTCTGAAAAACTGGAACAGCTGAATGGAAATCTTTGCTCATCGTGGTCTTAATTTCAGTCTTTTTAAGGTTCTTAATTTCAGTCTTAAGGTGTAGTTGCTTGAGGGTTGGGGGGCAACCAACACTTGCCAGGCCTGGTCTTTTTTTTAGATCTACCTTTTCCTGTGTCTGAGATACACTCCATTGTTGTGAATAATGGGAAAGGATCCGGACCCTAGCTTCATTGTGTATATATAATTTTATTTTTATTTTTGTATCTCTTATTCAGGTACTTAAATGTAATTTAGATTTCTTTGTTGCACTTATTTTTGTATTAAAATAGAAATGTTAATTGCAAAATTACTAATCTGTTTAAAATCTGCCTTGTAAAATCTACTATGTTCAGTAGCGCTGCACAATTTAAATTCCTTCATCAAAATCATATTTATTTTGCCAGCTGTGCTCATATTGTTGTAATAAGCAATAGTAATACCGTAATTTGTTTTTCATTGTTATATTTTTTTTTTAAATATATTTTTTTAAATTTAATTTGTAAATTGGTAACCAGTTTGCGAGTATTTAGATTTTATTTGGGAAGGGTAGTTTTTGATGTGCATTTGTTACAATACACATTGTAAAGACTAAGCTCTTATGTTGAATTTGTTTTTGTTTGTTGATAGGGTTTTCTGTGCCTCCTGCCACACAGAACAGCATTGGGACCATGCATGTGGATTTTGATGCTGTGTTTGGAGCCAAACCAACAGCCAGTGAAAAGCAGGATGCAAATGGTATGAGTTTGGGGAATAAACTGTACTCGTGTGTACAGTCTAGTCAATGAGTTCTTGCCAAACAATGAAATGGTGCAAAACTGTATGGTATTCCCATAACTTTCTATTGGAAAACTGTGCATATCCCATAAATCCCTTGCACCGCAAGAGTTTTGTGGGAAAGTTGATGCTTTCTTAATCGGTAAACAACATACAAAACTGTATTACTAATGATTAAGTCTCACTGTCCCTAGTTATTTTTAGCCAATTTGAAAAATTTAAAAAAAATTTAATTAAAACTTGTTAACTTTATATCCAGTGCTAAGTCTACCTTGGTGCTGCCATCCTCTCCTCCTCGCATGATGTCATCTTGGATGCGTGCCTCTTGTATGACTGTCCAATTCAATGCTCCTTATAGTGGAGCCCATAGACGATCTGCCATTAATTCTATCACAGAAAATCATTGTATGCACTGATTCTCTGTGGCAAGTTGTGATGGAACTGCGCATGCTTCTAGAAGTCACGGTATGCGAGATGGAAAGTCTGGCTCTCCTTGGACGTTTAACTTAAAGCCATGCTTCCTAGTCTTGTATATGAAAATAAAGTGTTTTGGGGACACTTTAGAGTAGGGCTCTTCTGTGTTCACTACAACGACTTTAATTAGACTAAGTTGTTATAGTGAGTAAAGTGTTCTGTTAAGCTATTTGTTCAGGAAACAAATGCCAGACAGGTACTCACTCTTTCACATTTCATATGGGCTATATTTCATTCAGTAGAAAGCTGGCAGCAGACCTTAAACCCCTGATATGCGCCAAGTGTAGCTGTAATATTGAAGCACATTGCATCTAACATGAGAAACTGGTTGACATTGGTGAAGGCTTGATGGGTCCAGATAATTAATACAGGTTTTGGCTCCTAAGATTGCTATAATTTTAAATCTTTGCTCTTTTTAGATTTTTTTCACATCTGATTATTTTATGATACAATGTGGATTTAGAAAAAAAATGGACACTATTTAAAACAGTTATAACAGTTGATACATGTCTGCTTACATAAGTGTTTGTGTTCTCTTTCCTTTTATTGCATGCATTCTCACACTCAACGCTTCATTGATGGGTGAGTGTTAACCAGTTTCTAATTACTGTGTAGAAAATAGTCTATAAAGCTATTTACCTATTGTATTTTTATTTTATTTATTTTTTCATAGACGCTTCACCAAATGACACAATGAAATTTAAACTCTTTTCTGTAGATTGAAAAGATAACACTAAAGGGTCTCTTACTTCCACCCCTCCTCCCTCCCACGACAAGGTTGAAAAAGAAAAACATTTTAGTCACTTGCTTAATTCCAGTGTCAAGGTCCCTCGGCGTGGATAGGCGCATGTTCTTGACCTATATCAGCCGTTGGGGGCTTTCTCAGAAAGTGCTTGATCTATGCTTTCCTTTGGGGTTTTGCTGGATGTCCTCATGCAAAGTGTGAGGACGTCCAGCATAGTTTCACGCAGTCAAACTCCTTAAACCTGCAGTAAGTGACTCTAGTTGCTGTCTAATAGACAGCTACTAGAAGCAGTCTTATCACTGCAATGTGTACTTTGCAATTTCTCTAATGGGGGAAGGGTTACATGGGTACTGCATAAGACATGGTTTGATTACCATTACTTGTTATTTTTAGAGTCCTGGTTCATTTGGCTTGTTCTTCATGACAAGATTTTGCATATTCAAACATTATTTAGATTTTAGGAACCAGAGCTATTTCATTGCTATTATCCCCAGAGAAATCTATGTTTTTGTGTTGTAAATTGCCCATCTAGTTTTCACATTCCTTGTTTGAAAAAAAAATATGGACTTTCTTCCTTATTTCAATATGAAGCACATTGTAGTAACAGCAAGGCTTAAAATGTATAGTCCTTTGCTACTAGCCAGGCCTTAAAAGCAATTTGCCACTGCAAGCCATAGTATACACTGGATTTATTGACTTTCTGTGCTCCAGAGCTAAAGCTGGTGAATTTCTACTCACCAGTTCTACACCTTTTTAGTTGAACTTGCATTTTATTTAATCATGTATTGTATTACTGTTGCAAATTTTGCATAAACAAACTAACCTAAAGCAGAACGAGCAACTATGAAAACCAACACTCTCATTGGAAAGATGCAAGTTAGCAGTCATTATTTATGTAGTTTTACTTGTCTAAAATGAACAATATTAGTCTAGATTTTTATGTGTACCTTTTTTGTAAAGGTGCAGATTTATCATAACATGCTGTTGCTTTTGATACATGTTGTATGAGAAATCTTTAATGTACTTTCTCGAAGCACAAAAACACCTATATCTTAAAGGACCACTCTAGGCACCCAGACCACTTCAGCTTAAGGAAGTGGTCTGGGTGCCAGGTCCAGCTATGCTTAACACATTCTTTTATAAACATAGCAGTTTCAAAGAAACTGCTATGTTTATGAATGGGTTAAGCCTTCCCCCAAATCCTCATGTTTTCCTGGCACTATAGTGGTCCTTTAATGTAGTGGCTTTGATGCAAATACCCTGTCCCTTTCTTGAAGGAACAATTTTTAAATTTGTTCGAAAACGTGCCTCTAAAGGCATTTCTTCCTAACTCAATGCAATTTCAATTTGAAAAGGTACTCACTTGATACATCATTATGCATATCATAATGATGCCAAAAACCGCTAATGCTTCTCATAGACATGCGTTATCTATCAGAAGCATTGCACTGGTGGATCACAGTAATTCTCCGCACATATGCCAAGTGCATTGGGCTAGCGATCATCATGATTCATGATCTCAGTATGGGCAGATGTGGCTGCAGAGAGTACTGTCTTACATGTAAGTATAACTGCTTTGAATTCCACCTTTTTAGAAGGGGATTGTTAATCTAATATATTTTTTAACAATGTGTTCCTTTTTTGTTACAAATTTTTTTCTAGATACATATTACTTTTGCTCATAAATGATTGAACACCGCTTCATAACATGCTTATAGTCATTCTGCTTTTATTTTCCTTTAGTGGCCTATTTTACAGAGGATGTATTGCAGCCAGCGGTCACCCAGCAAAGCAAAAATCATGTAGCAGGTGGTCAGCATAGTGGAAAGTTAATGGCAAACGACCTGGATTCCTCACTTGCTAATCTGGTGGGAAGTAAGTTACTTTTTTTTGTTTTGTTTGTTTTTCTTTTATACTGCACACAATCACATACACTCAAAAAGGTGTTTTTAAATGTTTACTATGACTTTTATTTCAGATCTTGGGTTTGGAGGAACCCCATCCAAAAAGTAAGTTATTTTTATTATTACTTGGACATTAATAGTATGTTTGATCCCTCCTCAAAATAATTACCCACTATCCACAAAACTGCACCTCCTACCAAGAGTTTCAGTATGGTTCTTGTGCTGCCTGAGAAAACCAGAAGTGATATCTCCACATCAATGATAAAATTTTGTCTTTCAAATGTTGCTATTCATCTCCAGGCAGTGTCAGATATTTCTTTTAAAAATCGTGCTAATCACTTCATTTTCAGTGCTATACAGTCATTAATAGAATATGTAGTTAACCTACCTTGTTTTATATTGTATGCAAAAAAACTGTTGTAAATAGATGTGGTGTCTTTCTTTTTCCACCAAAAAACAAAAACAAACAAAAAAACTGGATTCTTACTTTTATTTATTTTTTAAATTTTTTTTATAGCTGGCTCCAGATTCAAAGTAAATTTTGTTTAGCTCTGCCTTATTCCCACCCATTTCACTGTTCCGAAAGGACTTGGCTGCAAAAGCTTTCCACAAAAAAATAAAAAAAAATTCTGAAAGATGATGCCCCTTGCAACAGTGTTGCGGCCAAGTCCTTTTGGAAGCGTAAAATGGGTGGTATTAAGGCAGGGCTTGACAAATTTGCTTTGAATCTAAGAGCCAGCTAAAAAAGTTAGACAGTTTTGTTTATTTTTGTTTGTTTTTTAATAACGCTTTATTTTCTGCTACAAAATTACAATTCTCAAAGGGACAGTATAATCACCAGAGCCACTACAGTTTATTGTAGTGGTTCTGGTGTCTAAAGCCTATTCAGTTTAAACCCTGTCCTGCAATTTGTAATTAAATAATGCAGTAATATTATAAGAAATTTGTATAATTTGTTTGGTAGTCATGTCTTCTCTCTGTGTCTCTAGATCTGACATGCAGTGGAATCAGCCTTCAGAGAAAAGACTAACTGGTGGCACACACTGGCAAGCAAAAACAAGCACTTCAACAACATGGAATCCTGCACCTATAGCCCCAATTCCTCAGATGGTAAAAGTTTATTTATTTATTTATTTATTTATTTATTTTTTTTCCACAAACTTGGTGAAGAGAGAGAAACCTTGCACAGGCACAACTTAAAAATAAATTGTAATATTGATGTACAGGCTTTGTAGTAGTAATTGTAATGATTAGACAGATTTTTCCTTATTTACCCATAATCCTGTGATGGCTATTTTGTGCCTGATATGTTGTCCTTAAATGATCTTCCATCCTCAGTCCAGACTGTAACTATAGTTAACAAATGTGCAACATACTGTAAAAAAATTTTTTGGCTTATGTAAATCCAATTCTATACAAAATCTTACCTGATCAAATAACATATGGTATAGATAGCGTAGCTTGGGTGTTTTTAATGTCAAGACATGTTTGAGAGATATGCATTTGATCAGTAAATAAAGATACAAGGTAAATCGAACCTGTGGCAAGTACTAGAGTGGAGTACTGCAAAACAAGATAACCTTTATATTACATGCAGCATTGAGCATCCCAGTACAAATATAGTAATATATGCAAATTATAACAGTCCCCTTAAATGAAACCGCTGCTACAAAGACTCTGATCTTGCAATTGGCCTGTGCGCAAGAACAAGGCAATTCTAAGTGAATGTGGGGCTAATCATGAAGAAAACTCAAGTTGCCTGGCATAGGGGATACACCACAGACCTACTCTGATCTCTTCCATTTCTTGTAACATGGCCAGAAAGAAAATGAGAGATGGTTTGCATGTTTTTACCAGTAACCTTAGAAAACATTACATTTCACAAGTGTGCTAAGGAAATAAAATAACATAGAAATCAAAACCGATAGTAAAAAACAAAACCTCTATAAATGATTGTGGTCAGAACAGTTCTAGTTTAGCAAGACAAAGAGGTACATTTAAAGAATGACTGAAAGTAGAGGGTGGATGCTGCAATACTGCACAGCACCCAAGGACTTTTATTTTATTTTTTTCCACAAGAGACAGCTACTCTTTTTTTTTTTTTTTTTGGTCATGTATTTAAAGGGGTTGCCAAGTTTGTAGGATATATGCTTCCATAAAATGTTTATTGCAATTCATTCGGAGATATTTGTGAAAGTCTTTCAGAGTTTAAAGGATCACTAGTGCCAGGAAAACATACTCGTTTTCCTGGCACTATAGGGTCCTTGGGTTCCCCCTCCTGCCGGGCTCTAGGGTGAGGAACGGGTTAAATCTTACCTGTTTTCCCCCGCCGGGCTCCCTCTGCGCGGGGAACTCCTCCTCCTCATTTTCACCATCATCGGCTGCATGCGCAGCAGGAACCACGCGTGCATTCAGCAAGCCCATAGGAAAGCATTCTCAATGCTTTCCTATGGATGCTGGCGTCTTCTCACTGTGAAAATCACAGTGAGAAGCGTGGAAGCGCCTCTAGCGACTGTCAATGAGACAGCCACTAGATGCTGGATTAACCCATTTGTAAGCATAGCAGTTTCTATGAAACTGCTATGTTGACAGAAGAAAGGGTTAATCCTAGATGGACCTGGCACCCAGACCACTTCATTAAGCTGAAGTGGTCTGGGTGCCTAGAGTGGTCCTTTAAGGATTTCTTATTTTGCAGCCAGGCAAATATGGGTTAAGTTAATGTTAATCTTAGCTAATCGGGGGCTTTCAATATTGGTGTTGTGAATGTATGCCAACCTCCTTAAAACCTTGAATGAGTATTTAGCTATCTGCTGTGAATGCTCTTCCAATTCACTGTCAGACTGTTCAAGAGGAGAGGGGTGTTTGTATCCTATACAAATATCCTCTCTTGCAATGATCAAGTACTTTGGTTTCATTGGAAAGAAAGTGGATCATTTCAGGTATTTGTATAAGTCTTTATTTGGGCGTTGCTAGATGTGTTAGAGATCCTGGATGCTTTTCATTTAATGTAGCTGTAATACAAGCCCTCCATTTTCCAGTCAAGTGACTGGTTGGGTATATGATTAAAAAGATAAACGAGACTCATTCCAATTCTGCGACAAACTGAATCGCAAATTCCAAGTGATTGAGAGAAGCTTTGGGGTCTTAAAGATATAATATGTGCCCTGCAAAGCAAGTTTGGCATCATTAAACTCCACCCATGTCATTAACCCTGGGGCATAATGGAATTGGAGTGCTTCTACTCTAATGTGCTTTTATAAAAAAAAAAAAAAACGTAACTTACTGATTTCTTGGAGGCTTGGTCCAGTGGTTAATGGTCAGTGGTTCCTTTTATTTTTATTATTATTGCCATTTTTATAGCGCCAACAGATTCCGAAGTGCTTTACAATATTACATTTTCACAGCTTATTTGGAGATCCTCACACTTATTTTAAGAAAAAATTTAAAATTCTCAAAATCCATTTGACTGATCTTAATAATAAGGCTAACTTTGGTACATATACATGACAGTAGAAATATATTCCACAATCAGCCAGCTAAATCTGGAAGCATTGTGTCTCTTCACAGATGCGTTTTTCATGCTCTTCCTGAGGCGTAAAAATAAATAAATAAAAGGCATGCACTTGGGCAGGCGAGTGGTTTAATAATATTGACTGAGTTTGATGGACCCTATCTTCCCTTTACTAATGTGCCTGGTGCCAACTTGATTAGTCATATAATCTAGCCTACTGTCTAAAAACCGTAGAACTATAATTTGATAATCTAGGTCATTTGACAGTTATATTGTTGCTTGTAACTAACTGTTCTTTCATTTGCTGTGCATAAACGTTTATTCCTGTTCCATTCTAAATTATTGTTGTGCGAGTTAGTTTCAGGAGTTCTTTTAAACCAAAACCCACTTAAAGAGCCTCTAGCATTTATTTTTTTTAAATGCCAATGCTCTTTTAATTTACACAAAGGTAGAAAAAAAAAAAAAAATTACACATAAGATCAGGATTCCTTAACTGGCACATGTAAAGACATGCCATTTATGTAATCAACTGGAGCCACCATTTTGCAAACTGTAAGATGCAGACTACCCAGGTTCCAGTTATTCACTTGGGCTATCAGACTGTTTAAAACCAGATATATCTGCAATGTAACATTGTGATGGTGGTTTAGTGAGCCTTTGTAAAGACAGGATGTATCTAAAGCACCTTATCTTTAATACTGGACACCGAGGGGGAAAAACTGAATACCCGTGATCATATTTTGTGAAAATTGTAGATTAATAAAATTAAAGCATTACTATGGCACTTTAATCCATGGGGCAATCTTACTATGTTACAAATTCCTTATTTTTGATGAAGGGATCTCTTCATTACTGTTTAGATATCTTATTTGTCTCTCTGCTTTATTTACCTATGCTGACCAAGAATGGAGTTCATTATCCAGGATATGTGAGTGGTTTAACATAACTTAATTAAGAATAAATAGCCAGTTGGATGTCTTGCCACCCTTTAGTTTTTGTTACACCCATTCAGTGTGTCTTGGCACCCCGCATTTGTGTTTCTTGCATCCATCCTCCTTGAATCTCTTGTATTACCTTTACCCCCTTTGTACCTCTTGCACCCCGGTTTCCCAAATTCCTAGCTTATGGCTCTGACCTCCTATCTGTTAATTTACCTCTCCCTTTCATGTCCTCCTATTCCTCTTAACCATATTACTCCCTTCCCTTCTAGATCCTCTCTTCTTATTCTGCCGTCACATGTCCATTGTCTTTCCAACCTTGTTAATCTCTCCTCATGCTCCCTTTTGTTTTCCTCCTCTTATACCTCCATTCCAGACCTTGTTCCCCTCCACTATTTGGGTCCCTCTTCTAATAACCCCCTTGGGCAGAAACCTTATTGCTGCCTAGAGGTACTAGGGTTGCAGGAGCAACTGCAGACATTGGAGATGCAAGCGTTCACGCAAAGTTATGATGGTGACGTCATCTCCACGTGCTGTCCTGTAATTCCTTCAGCGGCTTGCCAGGAAGAGAGGACCTGGTGTTGGGCAAGAAGAAAATAAATTCTTCATCTTACTCGAGCACACAATTGATTCCCAATATATCACAACAATAAGGTTGTGATCATGGATTGCTGCCCTGAGGCCATGTCTTCGGTGGCCTTATGAGAAATACAGCACTGACCGTACACTTGTACTGGCGCAAGTGGTGAGCTCCTCCTGCTACTCTTTAGCTGGTGGGTTAATTCTATCCTATATATTAAAATACAGTACATACACTCTGAGCGTTCTGGTCTTGCTAATTTTAAACAGGTGCATTTTGGGCATCTGTCATTAGCACACAAACATGTCCCCTTTGTTCCACCTAAGTCTCCCTCAGCCCATCCTCCGGTCCATTCTTCCCACTTCAGGGGGAATCAGGCCAGCAAGAGTTCCTTTTTTTTTTTTTTTGTAAATCTGAGCCTGGTCTTTTGATTTTTCAAACAAATGAAAATTGGCATGTCTTCATATACACCACTTAACAATTCCTTCAATGTTCTATTTGTAAACTCTATGAAGGATTTTAAACTTAATATTTTCTTCTTGTATTCAAGGTACCTCCTCCAATGACTTACCCTGTGTCTACGCCACAAGTGCCTGTGTATGGAATGGTAAGGGAAATGGTTTCTGAACCACACAAGATTAACCTTATTTACTTAATTTTCCTACAGCGTGTTCTGTACAGGATGGGGGGTGAGGGGAGAGTACAAACACAGGATGTACTAATTGAGCTCTGGCAGAATTCTTTCTCCCTTTTTGTGAATTCTTGCAAAACATTTCCTATAAATAGCATTATGCGAAGCACAAATTTACATGTTTTTTCGGTCCTTTCATAACTAATCGAGAAACAGCCATTAGCCCCTCTTATTTTCTCTTTGAAGGGTGTCACCATGAGGGTTAGTGCAGTTGAGCTTAATATATTAGGCTGATCATAAGCATGGAAATAGGATATCTCGGGACGGGGGTAACCAGACATCCCCTGGTATTAGTTGTGTCACTGAGGGTGTCCAGAACCTATCAAATACTGATTAGCAGCAGGTTGGAAGGGATGTAACAGCTATCATCCTTCCTCCCATGGGGTCAATAATGTAAGCTTCCGATGTTAATCATTTAATAAAATATATTTTTAATCTACTAAATAAAATGTTAATCAGAAACTAAAACACCATACTAGAGGTGCTTTTGGCTAATGATTGTAGGTGATGTCATCCCTGTTTTAACGCACACCTGGTTAGGGTGTGATCTTAGGTTGGATAAAAGCTGGTAAGGAAGCAGAGACAAAATTGCTTCAATTGTCTAATGAATATGAGCATTTAAAAAAAAAAACAGGGGGCTAGGGAAGCCTCTTGGATAATATGCTCCAAATCTCTTTAATTGACTTAAATGTAATATTTTCTACGGTAGTTAAAACTGACAGATTTATTTTTATTTTTTTCATTGCCAAACTGGTTATAACTCTACTTGACTTTCTTCGATCCTGTTATGCTTTTTCATTTTGCCAACAATTCTGCATGCATTTGTTAGTGATCTCTTAATCTTATAGATATTTCCCATACTGAAAGACAAGGGTTTTGTAGCTGTTACGGATGGAGGAAGGACTGGCATGGTCTATAAAGAAATGTTTATGCATAATATACAGAACCTCAGTTAATACAGCCTCCCATAGCATATAAAACTGAACACCAACAAGCCTTTCCCAGTATCTGCCTGTCACTCAATTTTTATGTTCTGGGAGAGCTGTGTCCGATTTGTGAGTGCATCATAATGGAAATTTGCTGCCTTGATGTTTTCCTCTGGGGTCTGCAGGCATGGTGCTACCTCTTTTTGCCTAGTCCTTGCAAGTTGCAGGAAATGGCATATGAATGCTGCAAAGACATGCATACTGGAATAGAGGTGGAACGTAAAGAGTGTTTGTGGAGAACTACTAAGCATGCACAAATCTTGGCACCAAAATTCAAATGCAAATTGGTTAAAAAGGCATTTAAATCCCAGTACATGTGCTGCTGCTGTTCGACTAGAGGCATTTTAAAGGTAACCCTTTCTGTCCTATATTTTTTTTACACAATATTTCCTTTTTTTCTTTTTGAGGCACTCGTTAGCTTTTCCTTTACTTTTACAGTATGTCTTTTAACCAGCAAAGGTTAAAGTGGTAGCAAAAACACTTATGCTGTGCTACCTGGATACTCCACTACCAAATTGTTCAAATAGAAACCTTTAAATCCTTGCTCCAAGTAAACTGCTGAGGCTTTACAAAAATCTTGGACAGCTTACAGAAAAACCTCTTGGACATAAGATAAGCAGAGTTACAATGTAACTCTTCTCTTAGAATTAAAGAGGCATTCTTCTAAGGCAAAGAAAAGGCCTGAAGAATTGTCAGGTTCAGACTCCAAGGGTGAATTTTATTTTTATTTATTTATTCACACAAATGTTTTATCTACATGGAACAAACTTCTAGATTAATGGAAAACCTTTTTGGAAAATCTTTAAGGAGGCGCAATAAAAGGTTTGGAGGATGACCAGTGTAAAGAGAAGTACATTTTCTCTCCTAAATAGAAATGAGAAATTCTGCTGTGAGGTCTGTAGGATGGAGGATACAAGGTCTGTAGGATGGAGGATACAAGGTCTGTAGGATGGAGGATACACTGTCAACCAGTGCTTCATTATTAAACATTCAATGTGTGATTTTTTTTTCTTTATTTTTTTTTCTCCCACACTGGGTTACATTTTACCTCTTACCCTGAACAAAAGCTTAACCAGAGGTCTATTGGTTAGGGACCTGCAATTTCTAGGTCAGGGATCGTTTATTTCCAACAGTCAAGTAGTAAATGCAGGAGGCATGCGGAACCTGAGTGAGCTGGTGGGTGATAGGAATCCCACTGCCTTTAAAAGATACTGATATCTGCAAAATACACACTTTTTAACTATGGCATCTCTGATAAGGCAGCATGTCACGATAAATACAATAAGGCCATCCTGCAACACCTGTTGAATGCAGCAAAAGCACTTCTTCCTTTGGAAGAATTTGGGAATTCCATAATTTTCAGTTCAGAGCCCTTGCCGCCAAGTGAATTCACAATGTTTTAGGCTTGCATAGCTTCTCTAAAAAAACATTAGCGATTAACATTATACCCAATTTTAATGACTGGCCTCTTATAGCAAGATCAACCGTTTCAGTTTCCTTTTTGGGGCTTCAAATAGATTTGTTACAATTGAAGGTCTTCCTTCCAGACAATAAAATAAAACAATAGTAGAAGTCTGCTTTATTCTCTCTGAGGTAAGTAAGCAGCATCAGAAAAGCTATGATTCTCCTAGGTCCTTCAGTAATACCAGCAGTATACTGTGCAAGTGGGCTTATATGTCTACTTCAGAAAAATATTCTACAGTAATGGAACTACCCTTATTTGGAACTCAACTACAATAAAGTTTCCGTTGTGAATCAGAAGTCCTTTTCCATAAAAAGGAATATCCTTTATGCCTATTTCTTAAAGAAACCTCACCACATATGAATCCTGTTCAGGATGTGGAGCCCCATTTCAGACCATACTACAGAAGGGAATCAAAGCGGCAGACTTCAGTTGTCAAATTTGAAAGCGTTAAAAGCGATCTTGATATCTGCATTATTTGCATAATTGTTGGAGAATCAATGGATCCAGGTAAGATGTAAATGTTCTACCAGTTTCCTATTTAAATAGCCAGAGAGGAATGAGGTCCGTATGTCTGTCTTTGGTCAGAACTCCTTCAGAGGCTTGTTTCAGTTCACATAAGTTCACAGGTGTTGGAAAATGTTCTGTCAGATCAGCTACGCAGAACCAAGGTGACCCAGGCAAACTGGTCTTTCAACCATCAAATGTTTAATCAGATTACTCTTCGGTCCAGCCTTCCAGTTATCATCTGTCATTCTGGTTTCCTCCAGTCTACTTGATACCAAGAATACTAAATAAAATAAGGACAGATCAAACGTCTCTTTGCGGTCCTTCTCTTTCATGGACCTACTAGATTTGTGCCAGTGAAACCACTGGATTCTTCCTCAGTTGGAGAATTTTCTTGGGCACGTTTTTCCAGAAGTAATAAAAAGATTCAGCTTGTCTACAGAGAAGCTCTTCCTTACCACTAAAGGTATAGATACAGAAGTCTTTGACAGTCTTCTATTGTCAAAAAAGAAGTCTACTAGTTTTATCTAAATTTAAGATATGGAAAATGTTTCTCTATAAAGTCTTCCAATAAAGTCCACTCACCGTATCTACTCCTGCCATCCATAGATTCCTGCAGTTAGGATTTGCTAAAGGTTTTGGCTCTTCTACCGTTAAGGTTCATATTTCTGTAGTCCGTCATTTCACTGTTACAAAGTTTGCTTGTCACCATTTGATTGTTAAATTCTTCAAAGATGTTTCCAGGATAAGACTTAGAATCCATGACACTAAATCTTCCAGCCCTCACATAACCCCTGTTTGATCCTATGGAAGAATACACTCTAAATCAGGCCTGCACAACCTGCGGCCCCCAAGGTGTTTTTGAACTACAATGCCCATGATTTTTTGAATAAAACAGCCAACACCTAATGCATTTTTTTTTCTTGTAATGAAACAGCCAGGGGATCATGGGAGTTGTAGTTTAATATATCTGGGGGGCGCAGGTTGTGTAGACCTGCTCTAAATTTACAGTTTTGGTCTACTTTTTATTGCTTTAACATCTGATAAGAGTTGGGGAACTTCAAGCTCTAGGAACTCAGTCTCCATATTTTTATTTATTTATTCCCTTCCAGTTTAGAGGCAGTGCAACAAGGATATCCACATTGGTTTCGGTAGGGGGAAAAACATTTTTTTTTTTTTTTAGATTTCGCTCTTCCTAATTCTCCCCACCTCTTCTACTGTAAAATCCTGCAAACACACACAAACACACTTGTCTGCCTGCCTTTAATGAGGTGAGACCGTTTTTGCCAGAGTGTCCTGGAAGAACAGCTCTGCTTGTAGGCCTGGTTTTTCGATCTTCCACCGGTGGAATGCACATCCGGTGCCTGCGTTCCACACTTATGTAACTTCCACTCAGTCCGTACTGGAAGTGGTGTGGGTGCTCATACTGGTTACAGTGCGTTTCCCCTACAGATCACGTCATGGAAGCACAATGCGATCTTTGTTCTTTGGTGACTGTTTAAACTTGGGAGACTATTTAGACCCCAGCCAAAACTACCTGATAGCAGGGTGATGTTCAGCACAGTTGTAGGTGTGCTCTTACTACACTTCCAGCCCACCCAGAAGCCAAACAAGGTAAGATTGTCCGCTTTTACTTTTGTTCAGGCCTTTTTCCTCCTTTCTCGTATAGTTAGGTATTTTATTTCTTTTCTTTCAGTATGTCTAATACTAAAATTTCAGAGAAACCTGTGGAGAAGCCCAAACATTTTATCTGTGCATCCTGCAGTCAACCAATGTCAGATGGTTATAAAAAGAAAAAAAAGTAATGTTTGTTCTAAAGAGGTAATGGAAGAAGCTAAAAAGCAGAAGTCTACGCTTTTCTGTCTTGGTTTCAGTCATAAAATAAATTTGGTCCAGGCACTCCAGATTGCTGCAGGAAGGCAGGTTTATTGAAACAAAAACTGCAATGTTTCGGCCTACACAGAGGCTTGATAAAGGCCTCTGTGTAAGCTTGGTTTTCCCAACCCTAGCCGTGATAAGCACTTGGATTCCCGTGTGAGTGCGGAGTCCTCAGTTTGTGAATTACTACAGTTATTTGGTTTCAGTCCAGTCTACAACAAACCTATATGCAATATCAGGGAAGCCACTATTCAAGCAGCCCAATCATATGTCACTCCTGAATTTCGTTCACAGAAATGTGAGAAATATGGGGTATATTTGGACACCAGTTCCCATTCTTCTGGTAGCTCATCCTCTGAAGATGAATTGCTTTTCCAGATGAATATTTTCACAAACTCATTAAGGAGATTTCTCTTATGGAAGAAAGAGTAGAGCCAAGCAAACACAAGAAAACAAAGTATGTTTGTTTCTTTTTTCTTTTCACCCTAGGCTAAAGGATCTCATGGTGGAAGTTTCCCTCCAAGAAAGCATTTCTTACTATATACTTTAAAAATATATATTTTCAATAAAAGAAAATAAGAAATTAGAGCTTCTTAAATTGAATGTGCACATTGCACAACTGGGCAAGAAAACTAAATTGTTTATTGGAAATGGTTTGCCAGATGCTATGGACAAAAAGTTGAAATATAGGTTTTAGGGACACTATAGTCACCTGAACAACTTCAGCTTCATGAGGTTGTTCAGGTTAGAACTATAGCTCCCTGCAGCCTTTCTCATGTAAACACTGTATTTTCTTAGAAAATACAGTGTTTACATCGAAAGCTAGGAACACCTCCAGTTGCAGTCACTCAGAGTGAACCAGAGGGACTTCTGAGTTGATGGAGGCATAATATGCCTCCATCCACTCAGATCTGCTGTCAGCAGAGCTCAGGGCAGCACTGTGCACAGCATCCTGTGATTCAGTATCTCCTCCCTCTGCATGCAGACATTGAACTTTCCTCATAGAGACTCATTGATTCAATTCATCTCTATGAGGAGATGCTGATTGTCCAGGGCTGTGTTTGAATCATGCTGGCTCTGCCCCTGATCTGCCTCCTAGTCAGTCTCAGCCAATCCTATGGGGAAGCAGTGTGATTGGATCAGGCTATCGCATGTCAGCAGACTGCTTGTTTTTCCTGAGTCTAACAGCATGCAGATTTACAGCTTCTGGCTTGAATACAGTAAGATTTTTACTATATTTATGGAGGCATGAGGGGCCCGGGGGGGCTAGATGGTCGTGTTAACACTATTGGGTCAGGAATACATGTAGTTGCACTGGTGATTAGTGTGTCCCTTTAAGGAAGATATTTTTAACTAATGCAGCACGAAGTAAAACACTTATTGCAGGGTAATTTGTTGAAAAGGCACAAAGCTCTTGGTTTGATTCGCTGGAAAGGTATATTTTGGTCAATCTCAATAAGATGTTATTAAAATTCTTCAAAATATTAAGATGGCATCTGATTTCATGCCTGATTCTACTCTTTAACTTTCTGCTAAATCCATGGGATTTTGTACAGTGACCAAAAGGGCAGTCTGACTGAGAGGTTGGTAAGCAGACTCCACCTCTAAACACTCCCTATGCGACAGACCATTTGAAAAGGGCAGACTTTTTGGCGTTCAGTAGACCAATCTGCTTAAACAGCAGAAGGTAATAAGGTCGAACGTATGTTGGAACAAGAGCTTCTTTAGCAAAAATAATCTTGCAGAGATTCCTTTCGTAAAAGAAATTCACACAGCTGTCAGATGCAATCTTTTGACTACAAAGGCAAGTTAATGGGAAAACAAAAAGAAAGGAAATTCTGATGCCATGAGTGTAGGAGTAAGATTACTGGATTACTTCTCAACATGGCAAGACATCACGACGACGAATGGGTCCTGTCTATTATTTATCACATCAAATTTGACTGTCTTCTTCAAAAAGGTTTTCTTTGCACTACTGTCCAGTCTCCCGGAGTATCAGAAGCGCTCTTCCTGAAGATTATTTATTACTGGTATTTCTAATACGCCAACAGTTTCCGCAGCGCTGTACAAGTAGTGGAGAATGTACAAAATACAAAGACAAATACAAGAGGTAGAAAGAGCCCTACCCGTAAGCTGATAACTAGGCATTAAAGCTCTTTTATACAAAGTGCTTAGCTAGATAGCCCGTGAGCTTACAATCTAAAGGATACCGTGGGGAATAGGGACGTATGGTAGCAGGGGAAATTTGGAGGTGATGGCTAAAAGAGTTAACAGAGCAAAGCAGCTATTGGTAAAATGTAAAGGGAATGAAGAGGTAATTGAGTGAGAATCTCAAACAGCTGGAGGAGCATGCTATATAGTTACTACCAGTAAATTGTTATCAATAAGATATTTTTGAGTATATGTTTGTGACTTGTCATTTCTAGTGAAGGCTACATGGTGCTATTAAGTTCAGCTTGCGCACTTCCATCTGCTGCCCCATAAAATAAATGTGAGGCTGTGCCTATCCTGTCTCCTTGAGAAACAGGCAGATACTGGGGAGGAAAGAAGAAATCTATAGTGTGAAGTTTCCAAAAAAAAGTATGTCCAGACTAAAACAAAGAGGGAATAAGGCCTTATCCCCATAACATCTCTAATACTGGGAAAAAGGATCACCAGTCCTTATATAAATTAAGTAAAAGCATATCACTACAATACTTTAATGAAAAGTATCTAGGAGCTTATAAACCTCATGTAAATTCCACAAAAGAAATACAATTGGTGATAATAAATAGCATGGAAAAAGTCCAACAGTTTGTTCAGCAAATCTGCAGTAAAATAGCAGAAGTGTCACTCTCCCTGCTTGTGAAGACAACAGAGTATAGTGACTCAAATGGCAGATTGATATACTTTCCAACGAAAGATGCAATAAATCCCCACAAGATAAAATACGAAGCAAGTCTGTGCAAAGAAAACGGGTTGCTCAGTAGTATCCAGTAGAAAAATGATAATGTCTCTGTAAAACTATCAATATTTTATTCCAAGATATCTAAAAACCCTCACAGCAATGGCGTGAGCAAAAAACATTAGGTCAATAGCATGAAGAGTAACCTGTTGGTCTGACCATGTAGATGGATAGGATCGGTGGGAGTTATACTTCGCCCTGTGTCCTGGTCAGCATGCGTTCCACCTCTGACCTTACTCAGAGGTGCTCCCTCCGATCTTTCAGATTGATCTCCGGTGTAAATCCGAAGCCTGGAGTCGGCAACAGCACAGGCTAGATTACTGCGTGAGCGTCCAAGAGTCCAATGACTGTAAATGTCTTGCGCGTTTCGTTGGGATCCTGCCCTACTTCATCAGAGACTGTAAACCCTATTTAGATACTGGTGTAGGCTTGTTGGTGAACAGTTTTATGTTATGGAAGACTGGATTTAGGGAAGTTCTGTATATTATGCTTTTAAATGTCTTTATACACCATGCTTTTCCTTCCCTCCGGAACAGCTACAAAACTCTAGTGCTGCTGTTAATCATATGGAAAAGTAAATATAAGGTGGGTAAAAATAATGCTCCTTTTGTATTGGTTTTAATTTTGCGTTCTATTTTACAGGTTCCTGCACAGATGGGGGCTACACCTTTAATGGTTCCTCCTCAGATGATTTATACACAGCCAGGGTTAAGGCCAACAAATCCGTTTGCACCTGTGTCTGGAGCCCAGGTGATTTATTTTATTATTCTCCATTTTTTGTAGAGTCTAGATTGCAGATACAGTGCTGCTAACATTTTTCTGGTTTTTCTCTGAGGAAAAATTAGACTTATAGGACCATTAAAAGCTCTGACTGTATCTCATTTAAATGGTCCAGATTCAGTGGCCTTTTAATTTTTGTAACCCTGCAATGTAAAACATTTCAGTTTTGTAGAAACTGCAATGCTTCCTTAGCAGGGATAAATACACCTTTAGTGTCTTCCTGACAGCTGCTAGATGCACTTCTATGTGAGAACATCCTGGCTCTGTTTTCAATGAGATGCTGCTTTACTGCAGTTTGCAGCACATGTACAGTAGCCCTCGGGATGAAGCATTTAATTAGCTGAGATCATCAATCTTAATGATCTCAGCCAGGGAGGCGGGCCAGCTGCTGCAAGGGCTGAAGAGGGGGAGTGCTATAGATAGGGGAATGCTGTAGTGTTTCTTTAAAGCATTCTATGTTTTGTAGATTGGAACATATTTGTTTTCTTTCTGGAATAAAAAAAAAATTATCAGATGCCTTTTAGTACTTTTGCAAAGAGGTGTTTGTAACACTGATGTACCTAATAACAACTAAAAAAAAACATTTACATGGAATCAAAGGCTATGACCGTTCCAGGCATATTTAGGATACTTTTGTTGTACAATTAGAATAGTGTGGAAAATTTAAAATGTGACATGTACACTAACTGGGTAAAAGTACACAGAAATGAAACCTAATAAAAAGGGGGTGGTGAAACTCAGGACGTTTTTAGTAACAATATATGAGTTTGCTGACATGGATATTTTGGAATTAACTGTTCTAGAAGATACATACAATTACATTTTAAAACCTTGTTAGGTGCAGTGTAGCCAAGGCTGCTGTGTGCACAGTGTCAAATAATTTCCTGTTCCTATGTAGGCAGTGCAATTGTCATGGTGACGTGTGGGCTTCCCAAGTTATCCAAATATCTAAACCTGGTATATTTATTAAGCGAGTATGCGGTTAATTCGTCTATTTTTCTAATGTCGTCGACTTTGCCTTTCCATTCTGTTATGGAGGGCAAATGGGATGAGTGACTTAGCAGCTAGCAATAGCACTGGAAAGCAAGTTTTCCACAGTTGTGCTAGAGCAAGCATGTCAAACTCAAAGGCTAGCACGGGCCACATAAACCAGGTTTAAAGGAACACTATAGTCACCTAAATTACTTTAGCTAAATAAAGCAGTTTTAGTGTATAGATCATTCCCCTGCAATTTCACTGCTCAATTCACTGTCATTTAGGAGTTAAATCACGTTGTTTCTGTTTATGCAGCCCTAGCCACACCTCCCCTGGCTATGATTGACAGAGCCTGCATGAAAAAAAAAAATGGTTTCACTTTCACACAGATGTAATTTACCTTAAATAATTGTATCTCAATCACTAAATTGAACTTTAATCACATGCAGGAGGCTCTTGCAGGGTGTAGCAATCTATTAACATAGCAGGGGATAAGAAAATCTTAATTAAACAGAACTTGCAATAAAGAGCCTAAATAGGGCTCTCTTTACAGGAAGTGTTTATGGAAGGCTGTGCAAGTCACATGCAGGGAGGTGTGACTAGGGTTCATAAACAAAGGGATTTAACTCCTAAATGGCAGAGGATTGAGCAGTGAGGCGGCAGGGGCATGTTCTATACATCAAAACTGCTTCATTAAGCTAAAGTTGTTCAGGTGACTATAGTGTCCCTTTAAGTTTGTGGGCCGCAAAAAAAAAAAAGAACCCACCCCCCTGTCACTCCATCCCAGCGTATTGTCCATGATGAGACCAGCACAACCGGAGTCTATAGGCAAGTTAAACACATTGCTTTCCTTGTTACAGGAGAGCCCATAAATCTAATTAGGAATACATATATTCCAAACGTTCGAGTTTTCCTTTAACTGCAAATTTTTTATTTATTTTTTTCATTTAAAAAGAAGGGTCCATAAATCTTATTATAGTCACTGACACAACAGACTAAATAATAGAAAAGAGATCATGTTTTTACTTCATGTTAAAGAAAACTGCACTGCTCCCATGCAGGAGCAGCAGTTTCTTTGCAATTCATTGTACTAAAGTTTTAACTAGCCTTTTTGAGTGGCTCATATACACCTTTTAATGATTTTAGTATTTTATATTTTTTTTTCTTCCAGATGCAGTTCATGTAAAATCGCCAAAGCAACAAGGATGCGTTGACAACCAAAAACTGGTGAACAGAAAAGAGGATTTCTAGTTTCTGCCAATATTTCTTTTTCCAGGGCATTCATGTAATTAAGAACCCATTATTTGAACCTCAGAACTTTAGAGATGTACACCATCCATGTACCATGGAGTCCTATTTGACCTTGTGAGGCCACCGTGGCAAACTAATTTTATTTTCTTTACTACATGGTGGCAGGAAGAGTCAGACATACAACCTTACTTAATGTGACTGTTGAGGTGCCTTTGATCAGCAAATGCTCATGGTTTTGTAACATCACCTGCTACCTGGCTGATTTTGTTTCCCCATTATTTATTCTACAAACTCAATACCCATTTCTTTTGACACCCTATGTAAATGTGTGGCTGTTGTAATCAATTTTTAAGACACCACTCAACTGAGAATGAAATCTAGCTGTTAACACATCAGGCCCTGATATGACTATTCATGGCTAAATGAATAAGCACTTTTGGCTGATGAGCTGTAACCTGGAAAATGAAGATTATTTTTATGTAAAACCAGCTGCAAGAAAATGACTTTATTCTTGTATACTGTGATAATACACTGAAATGAACTCTGGATTCACATGGACCAATACAAAATCTAATGAAATTGCAGAACGCTTACTCTTATGTCACTTTAGTAATTCCCTTCTTTCTTGTGACAGGATATGTTCCTTAATACAGTAATCTAAACTTTAGAATATTCTCCTTCAGAAACATTTACAGAAAAATCAGGTGCAGGGACAATATGTGGGCACTGTGCCATTTTCAAAAGAGGAGGTTTGCCCTCTGTTGCCACAACCATTGAGCAAGAGGATTGCCACGCCTATCTTTGCTTCTTTAAGTACAACAAAATAATAAATTTTTAATATGTAAATATTTAAATATATATCCTTAAATAATTTGTCACATCCCGATGTTGAAAAGAAAATGAAAGATGTGCAACGTAAAATTATCTTTAAAAAACAAAAAAAAACACATTAGTTATGGGAAATTACTTCATTAGATTAAAAGAAATGTTTTGATATTTATTTAATCACAACAAATATATTTCCAGAAATCCTCTCTTGGTTGCCATTGACACTTTATATGTGACATTTCAAATGAAAAGTTAAAGCAAAGATGACCTGTGCCAGTTTATAAAAAAAAAAAAAAAATAGATCCAGAGAGGAAAAAGGAGATTCTAACATGGATTTATGATCTATTCCAAACATTCAAAGAATGAACTGTCATTACGCACTAAGAATTAAGCATATAAATTTTTAATTCTTTTTGTACTTGATTTTTAGAACAAGTTTCCCTGATTGAAGACAGAACTAAAGATAACACGTATTTGTATGTGCCACAGTTAAATTGATTATAAACAGACAATATTGCATTAAAACAGCCCTTCTTTGGGTACATTTATATGGAAATGCTATAATATGACCATTTATTTATTTGTTTTATGTGTTGCTAATATTTTCCCCAGCATCCATGCAGCAGAGGGTTTTAGTAAAGGAACATTCAGAGCACCATAAACCCTACAGGAATAGCTTTTATTTATTTTTATCAGTGGCTTAAAGGACCACTATAGGCACCCAGACCACTTCACCTCAATGAAGTGGTGTGGGTGCCAGGTCTCTCTAGTTTTAACCCTGCAGCTGAAAACAGAGAAACTGCTATGTTTCACTGAGGGTTAATCAAGCCTCTGGTGGCTGTCTCACTGACAGCCGCTAGAGGCGCTTCTGCAATTCTCACTGTAAAAATCCCAGTGAGAAGAGGCTGGACGTCCATAGGAAAGCGAGGGAGGAGAGTTCCCCAGCACCAAGGGAGTCCGGCACTGGAGAAAGGAAAGTGGCTGAAGGGGTTTTAACCTCATCAGCCCAGAGGGAAGGGGTCCTAATGCCCCTATAGTGCCAGGAAAATGAGTTTATTTTCCTGGCAATATAGTGGTCCTTTAACTCTTTTTCTTTAAGGTTAAAGACCTTTTTAAAAGAGTACCACATTCATTTTTATATGAATCTCATGGAAAGCATTCCTAATTTTTAATGAATCTAACTTTGCTTTTCTAATGCCAAGAGTATTTTATAAGATGTTTCTGATGTCTCATGGAGTACAGTATTGACTCTTTTTGCCTGTATAAGCTTATTTTACTCATACTATGGAGATTTATGGATTTGTTACTGACTTTCCAGTGTCAGAATTTTGTCAAATCACATGCTTATTTAGTTTTGGGTTTATACAAACTATAATTTGTATAACTAATTTACTGAATCTTTCTGGCTGTTTAATTTTCAAGGCGACTTTGGAGTATATTTTCTACAGCTTGGATCTGTTAAATATTGTAAACCACATTTGAAGAATAGGATTCGTATTTACAGAAGAACTGATGTAATGCTTCTGAGACAAAGGATCTGTAGCTTTAAGCAGTACCATTGATCAGTATTTACTTTTTCATTTTTTGACATTCTTTATTTTTCTGTGCAAATGAGTGAATACAAACGCACCTGCAATGCCACAACAGCATGAACAAGTGACATAATAGCATACATAGTTATAGAAAAGCATGACATGTATAAACATAGCACATTTTTATATAATTAAGAATAAGAAACAGGCAAGTCAGTCATGGCTAACTGGTAGATATGTGAACTTAACTAGGCTAACTAGGAAGTGTGTAAATAAGCAAGGCTAGTGGAACATACAAAACACGCAGCCCCTTAAAACCAGGAAGTCCAGATGATTAAAAAAGTAGTAGATACAAACTGTATCAAGAAGACTCTTACGGAAAAGGCTGCATCAAAATGGCTATGGATTGTTAATGATCAGGAACATGGCTCTGCAGTATACAAGGCAATATAAACATGGAGGTTAGTAGCTAAGCGAATCTGAAGAAACCGAGCACACCTCCTGCAGAACGCTTATAGCAGGCTTCCCCAAACTACGGCCCTCCAGATGTTGCTGAACTAAAACTCCCATGATTCTATGTATGAAATAGGCTGAGAATCATGGGAGTTGGGGAGGGCAAGAGTTTGGGGAACTCTGGCTTATAGTATGTCTTCACCTGATACCCCTGCTGACTATCAAAGTCTCATATTGAGACTGAGTCCCAGAAATACAGAGCAGGCCTCTCAAAAGCCCATATACGCTGTATTCGCGGCTTTATATCGATATTGCTTCTTCCAAGGATGTGAGATGAGCATCGGGGTTCCTTCCGACTGATTCAGTAGGGAGATCTGTCGTCTCTTCCACATTCGTATCTACTGCTAGGCCGCAAGACTTCGTCAGGTCCAAGTTGCTTGTCGTGTAACAAGAAACCTCAGAGTTGGTCTCATTTAGGTGCAGATTTCTCCAGTAAACTGGTACTTTGTTTGGGTTGAATATCGATTTAACAGTTCAGTATTCCATTCTTAGATGGCTCTCGTATGAAGTGTGACCATTCAGCACGGCGGCCAGGCCCTGCCCTTCATTTTCATTTTTTTTGAATGAAATATGGTTTTAAATCATGTATTTATCTTTTATGGTACCAGTTTTATAAAGATTTGGTTCCCTAAGTGCTATGTTGTAGAGTAGATCTTTTCCCTAAATCTAGCTTTTCTTTTGGATTTGCATTTGATTCTGCCAGCTGACTTTATTATGCATTCCCTTTGCAAACTGTAATTTTAGTTTGTGGATATAACTTTTATTGCTCCCTCAATGGATTAAGCTTTTTGAATACCATCTGTTTTTTTTCCCCCTTAATCTAAACCGCATCCACATATTCCCACACATTCAGTAGGTTATAGAGACACTTTACTGTACAAGTAAAGTTATCAAATAAATCAATGACTAGTAGATATACCCCCAATAAAAACATACATGTATTTAATTATGGGCTTCTTTTTTCATTAGGAGTGTATCTTAAAATGCTTTACAAAAGCAGCAGATCTCTTGTCTGAAGCCTTTGCAAACCCTCCCCTTCTAACCTCACCCAGACTTTCTGTGGCCGTCCAATCATTGTCTTCCCAATGCAGCTCAATTAGAAGTCTTTGCAAGGCAGTTGCTCTGGGCTATTGCAGCATCTTGAGTTTCGTACCACTTTGCTAACTAAACCAGGAAGCAACAGGACCTGCTGTTTGACAGCCAGGGGGTGTAACAACAAGGCTAATTTATGAAAGGGTTAACTTGTAAATGTTTATAATGCTTAAGGTGTTTGGAGTGTACTTGAAGGAAGATTATGTTTGCGTGGCAGAGCCTCATCTGTCAGTATCTCTTTATCTAGGTCTCTATTTTTAGTTAATTTAAATAAGCACTTGTCAGTAATGAAGTAAGAACTAAAACCTTTGGTTATGGCTTCTATATCTATTAAAGGGAAAACAATGATGGTAATCAAAATTACATTTTATTAAATCAAATAGATATATATTCCTTTCTTTGTTGGGCAAGGAACTGACTTATTTACAAATATTCTGCTCTTTCCAGCCTACCCTAGGATTGTGAAATACATAGCTTGTATCCCAACAGCCCTAGGTAACTTACATTTTATTGATGCGTGGTGCTCCTTACCTTACTTGGTCCTGAGCAGGAAGGGATGGGTATTGGTACTCATAAGTACTCCTAGACACACATGTATTTACTATGTGGGCAGGGAGGAGCTATGGGAACTTACCATTTAAGATTTTAAAGAGGTCAGGGACAAAACTTTCCTTTATGATTTAAGAAGGAGGCAGGCATAATTTAACAAACCCACTGCCACTTTAAGGAATATAATGGAGATCTGTAGACGGTCTCTGCACCATTACTTATTGTATAGAGTCCAAGTTGTTATAGTGCTTAGTGTGTTCCTTTAAGCACCAGACATAAAACATTAGTAAAGGTGTCTCAGCCAGTTGATGGTAGTTAAGAAATCAGCACATTAAAGCTAATTGCTTAATAAATAGATTTTAATTGAGCATTATATTAAACAAGAAAAAAACACTTCACAAAAGCAGTGAAACACTAAATG